AGCTTATTTTTCTGTTTTGTTACTCTCTCCAAACTCAAGTTGGCTAGTACCTATCCTCCTTGAGTTTGAGGGGGGCTGTTAATGTACATTGTATAATTTACCATCACCTACCACACACTTACCATCACCTACCACACACTCACCTACTACACTCACCTACCACCACCATCCACTACACCTACATCTATATAAGGAACCATTTGTAATAGACAGAAAATCATCAATACAATCAATCAATAATATCAATAGATACATTTATTCTGTATTTCTCTCTTCATACATTGAATTTATCGCTTGTAAATTTGAACTCGACTTGCAAGTAGTTTTGACATCGTTGTCAGCCTTCTCTTGTTTAGATTTTCACTCCTTGCGGCGCCAATCGCAAAAACTACAAATGCAAAGTGAGTAGTCAAAACCAAAACATTCAGGTCGTATTTGAATAAAAAATTAGAGTAGAAATAAGTGGAAGGAAATCAAAAAGAAAGACAAAAGTGAAATTTCTTTCTTTTTTTTTTCCTCTTAAATCTTTTGATAAAAACAAAATCTCGGAGAATTTTTTTGCAAAATCAGTTTGCATGCATAGGCAAAACAAGTAGATAGTCTTCCTTGAATGAGAAAGAAAACACGGATAGAATATAAGGGTGAAATTTTCGATATGTTTTGACAATACAACTCAAACCATACCCAAAGTTTTAGGGTCGAGATTAAACATTTTCTAACACAAACATAAATATAATACAATCTGGTAATACGAATATTAAACAAGTCAACTCAGTGTTAAACTTGCATAACACAAAATTAATTTAGATAACCTATTTAATAAGAATTAGTTACACATTTTAATATTTTTCTATTAAGGGGCCCTATGACAGTTTTGAATCTATTAAGCAACTTCATTCAAGTGAATGAAAAAGTATATAAAATAGGATTTTAAGGCTAATATTTTTATTTTTTTTTTGTCTTTTAAGATAACATATTTTGTGTCTAGTATTTTAGAGTCAAACTAGTAAAATAATAATAATAATAATTGACGAAATAATAATAATAAGAAGGTATAGTCTTTGTAAATTGATGACATAGAATTGAGTTGAAATTAAATATTTTTATGAATAATTTTATTTAGTAGAGATTGGTTTCATGAAATTTAATAGAAGAAAAAAATAATAATTTCATATTTTTAATTAAAAGGTGAAATCTTTTGACACGACAAGTTAATATGAAATGAATCGAACACAGATCAAAAATGACATGATATGATGAACATAAAAAATTAAATTAGTGAATTAGTATTGAAGTAATTCTGACACAACACGACACCCATCCTTAATAGAATATGAGTGATTCTATTTACACATCACTAATACTCTCAGTACACACCATTGCTTAATATACACACAAAATAATTTTTAGGATTTAAAAATATCTTATTTCACACCTTAACTTTCCATTGCTAACCTTATATTAATACACCACTAACTATTTGAATACACACCATTACACACACCAAAAACTCTTTATCGTCACCACTACACAACAAAAATCTCCACAATTTTCAAAACAAAGACTATCTTTGTCATGACCCGAACCCGCCCCTCTGGGTTAAGGCCATAACCGGTCAGTAATCACGAGATTACCTACGACCTCAAACCAAAACAGACTTAACACACCAGAGTGAAAGGGGCCAAACGGAAGCAATTTTAAAACTTTGTCCATAGAGTCGTGCTTATATGCACATCATAACATTCCAGACATACATACGTTAATAACTCGCAACAGAAAGTATAGTAACATAAGTACTGTACAGACAGGATCATTCAAATCTAAGTCAGCCAAGCAAAACTACATACAGACGTATTCAAAACTTCGCCAACCTGACAAAATGTAAATACATGACAATGGGCGAAGATGAGTCTCGTGCGTGAGACACAAGGGCTGACTCTCTCAAAACCTTAGTTGTTCCATACAGACTTCACTGAGGCTGGGTCTGGACTTCTCTTGGCTCACCTACAAACACATGAATGAGCGTGAGCGATAGCCCAGTAAATAATATCAAATAAAGAATATACATTGGAACAATGTACATCAAACGGCCTTGGGCCCAATTTACATTTTAACTAGTATATACATACATACACACATGTAAGTTAAGTAACTGAGGTTCCAACTACATCATACGGCCTCGGGCCCAATTCATTCATTTCGTTGTCAAACTATTACTCGTGTCAAACTGGCCTTCAACCTTTTCAAACTTTCATATCAAACTGGCCCTTAAGCCTATTTACACTTTCGTGTCGAAACGGCCTCTGGCCCATTCATTCATGTCTTGTCAAAACGACCTTCGATCCATTCATTTATGTCAAAACGACCTTCGGTCTATTCATTTGTGCCAAAACGGCCTTCGGCCCAATCACTTATGTCAAAACGGCCTTCGGCCCAATCATTCATGTCAAAACCACCTTCGGTCTATTCGCTTATGTCAAAACGGCCTTCGGCCCACTCATTCATTTCAAAATGACCTTAGGTCCATTTATTTCTATCAAAACGACCTTGGGTCCATTTATTCATATCGAAACGACCTTCGGTCCATTCATTCATTCATGTCAGACTTTTGTCCACAATCCCAATTAGCAACTCATAAAGCTTATAAGGGAATAATAATTGGACATTCACAATTATTCAAATATCGATATTACTCACAGTGATCGGCTTGTGGATTTGCCCTGGAGCTTGACCCTACACATTCCATGAACACAAAAGGGTCATTAACAATTCAATCCGTTCCTTAATTCACATATTCCTCTTTAGGCTTTATCTTTATCTCATAAACTCATTTACAATGCTTAACATATGCCTAAGAGCGCTTACAAGTGAAAGAGAACGGAAAACAAAACACAGAACGAGCATACAAAATTTCAGAGAACAGGGTCCCCGCTCGAGCGTGGACTTCCCCCCTTGAGCGGACCCTATAGGCCTGCAAAAGTGCTGGTTGCATCAAAAATACGCTCGAGTGTGAAATAGGACGCTCGAGCGGAAGGCCTGTCAAAATAGCTCCCGCGCTCGAGCGTTAATTACCCAGCTCGAGCGGACATCAAGTCTGCAAAAAGTACTGGGAGCACGCATTTCCCGCTCGAGCGTCAGGTTCCCCGCTCGAGCGGACCTCAAAATTCCGGAAAACCCAAAACTGTGTTCTTGAACTCCAATTCGATTTTCAACCAACAAAACATGCATGTTATGGCTCAAATCTCAAATATAATTATACTAACATGATGTAAACCTTAAATCACCACTTGCATGTCTCAAATTGACACCAAACTCAATTCTATCATACATATTCATGCATTCAAAGCTCCCATCTTCAATTATTCAGACATGCATGCCCATTTGACTTCATATTCACTTCAAATAATGTAATTAGTGCTCATTCCCATAAAATTTAACAAAGACATGCTTGCATGTGGGATTACACTACCAATCTTTCACAATTTCACAAATTACATGCTAGATTTTGTGATTCCATAGGAGTTCTTTACATGCATGTACATATCAAGCCTCAATTTCAATAAAACCAACTCAAATCATGCTCTTGATCACAAACAACCCTTGAACACACAAGATTACACATTAAACTCATGAATTCAAGAATCAATGCTTACCTAGGGGCTCAATTCTTCCAATTTATAGTCAATTCTTGAGTTAAATCTTCAAATTCCCAAGCTAGAGCCAAAAATTGCTCAAGTCTCTTCCTTTCTCTCTCTATAGCCGGCCTCTCTCTCACTCTCAAGTGTCTAACTCAGATTTTGAGTTTTGAGAGAGCTAAAGGAGAGTGCAATGCAAATATACAACAAGCCCCACTAACAAATATTTTAATATAAAATAATGGGGTACTTAATTTATCAATTTAATCAGTTTAAATTGACCAGAATCAATTTTCAATTAAATTTCACCGTAGGCTCTAAAAATTATGCCAATCACAATGGCGTAATCAATTTCGGGTTCTATGGCCGATAAGGCCCTCAATTTAATTCCAGAGCAGATTATTCAAACAGATATTCCTACGGTGAACAGGTAGAATTCCAAAATCGCATATATTCACATAATGGCACACAAAAATCATATTAAAATATATAATCACATACGTATTAGGGACCAATTAGCATATTACGGAACAGGGGTACCACAATCTTCGTCGGTCTTTATGTCCATCGTTGGCAGAGATTTCATTCAGCCACCATCTTCACAGGTGTTGATTTCCATAATTGATTTGAACTCTCATTGTGTTGAACTCTCGTCATCTCGTCATTTCAAATCACCGACAGAGTGTTTCATTCAGCCTCCATTTTCATTGGTGTTGATCTCCATTAGGGATGGCAATTTGAAACCGAACCGACGGGGACCTGATCCCCCGACCCCGATTTGAACGGTTATTCCCCGAAAAATACCTCCGACGGGACGGGGATGGTATTAAAAAAATAAGCCCCGATCAATTTCGGGCCGGGGACGGTGATAAAGTGTACAACCCCGGCCCCGGCCCCATTTTGTCCCTGAAATGGTACGTATATTTTATATATATATATATATATGTTGATTAGTTTCTCTCTCATTTTCTTTCATTTCATTATTTCATATCTTCTCTCCCTCTTTCTTACCTCTGATCTCTCTCTTCCTCACATCTTCCTCACCTCTAATCTCTCTCTTCCTCACATCTGATCTCTCTCTCTTTCTCACTGTCTCTCATCTCTGTCTCTCTCTCTCTCTCACTCACTTAGAGAGAGGGAAAGCACCGAATCAGAGTCGATCTGAGCAGAGCACCGAACCAGTGCCAATCTGAGCAGAGCACTGAACTAGAGTCGATCTGAGCAGAGCACCGGATCAATCTCTCTGTGCCGCGATGCCAAAGTCGATTTGAGCAGATGAATCTCTCTCTCTCTCTCTACTTAGATCTGAGCAGATCAATCTCTCTATCTCTCTCTCTACTTAGATCTAATATAAATTGTTGATGATGTTATTTATATAAACTGTGATGTTTATGATGTTGGTAGATGATGTTTGTTTTTTTTTTTTTTTTTGGAGTAACTCAAGCTGCCGCTATTTGTTTTTTTTTTTTTGGTCCGGGGAATTTTCGGGGTCGGGGAAACCCGATCCCCGTTAGGGGGCAGGAACGGAGATGGTGATTGATTTCCCGTCGGGGATCGGGGCCGGGGAGATGTTTACCATCGGGGATCGGGGACGGGGAGTGCGATCCCCGGCCCCGCCCCGCCCCGTTGCCATTCCTAATCTCCATTATCGGTGTTGAACTCTCATCTCTCGTTGTCATTTCAGATTGACATTCTCACCTTCGATTCATGAGTGTGTGTTAATGGTGAAGATGATGAAACATTAGCATACCTCTTTAGTGAAATTCACTTTTGTAGTCAACAACACAATCAATTTTAACATTGCTACATTGGGTGGGTATATAAGTTTGTAAAAAATTTAACAAATTCATCAAATTAGTCATGTTCAAGAATACAGAGCTGAACAAACTTAATGTGTTCAAAAATTTATATCTGAACAACGAATAAAAATTTAATTTATTTTAACCGAACTGACTTAAAATGTTCAATTTTTTATGTATGAATATTTAATATGTGGTCAATTTTAATAATTTGAACAAAATTATTTTGTTCAAATATAAATAATCGAACATTGTGTATAAATTCAACTTTGGTTATCCGAACACGACGAACAAACTCATCTTTCTAACATACGAACGAAATAAATAAAAAACCACAAAATGAAGTCACAAACTAACTTTTTCAATGTTCAAATAAACGTTTTCAATATTTATATTGGAACCAACTATCTCAGTGCCATCTATGATGTGCAAATCTTCAAAACTAATTGATTTCAATATTCTTAAATCCTAAATCTTCAAATGCAATAATGTTTTGAGTTTGAAAATAAGTATAATGGAGGAAAGAATGAAATGAGCTAATTGATAATGAATGATGTCTTAAGTGTTTGTTAGTAGTGAAGATGATGAAGAAATACAATGTTTATATGTTAAAATCCTAAACCCTAAAGCCTATATGGATGATGATGATTTTATATTTTTAAATATGAAATTTTTAAATGGGTAGAATACATCCCATGTTGTCCTTAATGATCATTTCATTAAAAGATATTAGTGAAATATAAATTTAATCTACTAATGGTGTGTATGGAGAGAATATTTGTTTAGCACATCTGCTGGCTACTAACTAACAGAAGCCCAAAATAGTGTCAAAACAAGGAAAACAAGATTTTTGTCCATGTGGAACACATACATTCCAAGATGAGATAAGTACTTCAATACTAACATTTCAAAGTTTTCCATAAAGCACTAAGCATATATAACCAAATGTGTAGATGAAGAAACTAAAAATGAAGTAATTACATAATTGTCCATGTTATTGCCAAGGGTTTTGCTAACTGGATGAATCCGACACCTAGAAAAACCCGACACCATGCCTAATTACTGGTACGAGGAAATAAGTCAAAAACAAAAATAACATTTAATATAAAAAGAAGAAGAAATTTTACTATTCTAGCCTCCACGAAATCTCAGCAGCTAAACTACCTAACACCTAGTGAAATCATGCTGGCGGCAGGCGGCAGAAGGGACCAAATGAATGGTTACCAAAAATTTGGATCTTTGCCGTTTAAGATCAATCTAAAGAAAATGATGGAGAACAGCACATTTTACATAATTGGTTTTGTTTGGATGCATGGTACAAGCTTAGATGATCCCAACTCCATGATAAACTGGCATTTTCTCTTTGTTCTCTAGCTTTATGTAATAAAAAGAAGAGAGAGAGAGAGAGAGAGAGAGAGACGAAGTGTACCTAATATAATATTGGCCTTAAAAATGTTGATTACATAATGTGCATCCAATCCTTGTAACCCTGCACTATCAAAAAATTAAATATTATAATGACAAGTATTATTTTCAAGGGCACAGGCCAAATATGTGACAATTTGATGTTCATGTGATGATAGATATATTGATAATTCTAAGCAGTTCTGTTCATTAATCTTAAAATCACTGAAAATGTTAACTTGTGATCTGAACAATATCATTAATTCACTAAGTAAACTGTAATACTAGCTAGCCCCAGGCATTAGCCCAAGTGGTTTTCAGAGGGCACTTGGGTGTCAGGAATGTGAGGTCTTAGGTCCAAGTCTATGGAGAGAGAAGCTACGTTATAATCTTACTAAGTTCTTAACGTCATACCGTTGGCAAAAAATAAAAATGACACTGTATCTGTAATACTAGCCTGTTTGGTTGTTTTCTTTTTCTTTTTTTATTTTTGGTTCTTGATTTTGTGTTACAGAAATGAAACAATGAAAAGTTCGAAAACACCCACTGATATCATTTTTATTGTTGTATGAATCAATTTTTGAAAATTCAAAAATAACTTTTTAGTGTTTCCTAAAAAGGGTTAATTTTAAATAATAAAAAATTCCTGAAAAAAGCTTTCAGAAGCAGCTCGCCAAACAAGCTTTGTATTTTTCGAAAAACAATACAGAAAACAAAAATAAAAAAGAAAACAAAAGCAAACAAGCTGCATGGTTAATGAGGTAAGTGTGGACACTAGTGGTACATATATGCCAGTGTTCCTCTATAAATCCAGACTAGTTCTGTGTTTACATGGTGGAAACTAGCAGGTATGGCAGAAAAAGTAGGAGAGATCGATCAGAAGATAGAAAGCAATGAAAGATTAAAGAGCAAGTGTAAGGGAAGTGTACAGACAATACTGCTCGGTTCCTTACGCACAGTTTTGAAGCACTCAGATGGGTTGGACATGTTGTTGATGGCACTGGGAACAATTGGATGTGTTGCGGATGGAGCATGCATGTCTGCAATCATGCTAGTTCTAGCCAACCTCATGAATGGTTATGCTGCTGCTACTTCTCTCACTCCCAAAGTCATAAATACGGTTAGTTTAAGAACTAATGTTAAAGTTCAGTTAAAGCATTTATCTTTTTCACCAATAATGTGACCATTTCTAATGATATTCTTTATAAAATAACACTCCATTTGTTTCGGCAGAAAACATTTTCCAAAAGCTATAATTTTAGTGAATGATCTACATCTATCTAGTAATAAGTATCAACTCACTAGCTGCGATTATGACTAACCATCTTCTCTTTAGAAATGGATATCTAATAAAACAATGGTTGTTTTGTTCACTTTGCAGTATGCTCTGTCTTTGCTCTACGTTGCTATCGGTGTGGGTATCGGTGGATTTCTAGGTAATTTGAATTTCCTTCCTTGTATCACCGTGAGACGATGTAATATTTGTGTAATCTATACAACAAAACATAATACAACATTATTTAACCATGCCTGGACTCAAGTATGTGGAATATGGAAGCAAGTTTTGTTTCATTATCTATTTACATGGGCAATTATGGAAAATGCTTTAACATTCCAGGGGATTGAAATTCACAGTTAATACGAAAAATTGAGTTCACAGTATTGTAAGAACAAGTGAAAGAACCAAGCTGAAAAGTAAAAGCCATGATTTAGTAAAAGATTTAGTAAAAGAAACAAGGTCAGTGCTTTTCAAGACACACGATGAACAGAGCTGTGCTAGGCTGAAGTCTTCAGTAGTCCATGGCGCCTCAAGTATATTAACATTTAACACTCCATTTGTTTTGGCTGAAAACAATTTCTGGTAAACTTTTTCCACATTTTCTAACATTTGGTGCGACGAAAAAACGAAAGTGAACAGAAAATGTTTTTCATGGTCAACAAAAAACAAGTTTATTTAGGCAAAGAAATGTTTTCCATTTTTGAAATGTGGAAAACATTTTTTGGACTAAAATCATGCTCATGCCACCACACTAACACCACCACCGCCACCTCCACCCCACAGCCGCCACCACAACCACTGCCACTAATATAACTATTAGCACATTAGTTTCAAGATCGCAACTAAACATTGGAAAACATTTGCTGGAAAAAGTTTTCCGTTGAAACTATTTTCTGTTGAAAAATGTTTTTCTGCCTAAACAAATGTAGTGTAAGAGCTATGCTAAACATGACTTTAAATTTTGAGAAATCTCTGTCATGGATATATATACTGCTCAAACCATATAGATACCTTAAATAATGTTGTCTCTCTGGGATGCTCCCTTTCCTGATTCCTTGCATCAACAATCTGGGAAGAAGCTTTTTCAAATTCTTTTCCCCTTCTGAAAGATCACTTTATATGTGTTTCTGCATAAAATACATAAAATATGAACATTTTATGTTTCATTTGATCATAATGAGAGGGCAGACATTATTAAGCTCATCTGCTCATCTCAACCGTGCTCTTACCTTTTGGCTTGTCAGTAAATTGTTCTCAAGTAGGCTCTCAAACTAGGAGACTAAGTTGTATTCCAAGTACCACCCCAAGAAAATCTGAAAAAATTTTGTGGTCAGAACAAGTAGGTAAACATTTTTTATATGGCTAAAATACTCTCTTTCCAAGCTAAACAGCAGTTATGCTTTGGGATTAATTAAGACAACAGGTCAGAAGAAAATATGATAAAAACTGTGTTAGAATCCAATACATCAGCACACAAATTTTAACACTTTTGCTACATTTCTATCATATGATGCAAATTCCCCATTTTTATTTTTCCAAGAATGGACCAATTGTTTATCAGAAACTAGCATAAAAAACTATCCATATTACCCTAACTTATGTTGTATTATGCTTTAGAGCGTTTTCTACCCTCATAAATTCTCTTGCAATTGTTTTTTGTATCAAACAGAAGGATTCTGTTGGGCACGCACTGCAGAACGGCAAACATCACGTCTACGCACTAGATATTTGCAAGCCGTCCTACGACAAGAAGTTGGGTTCTTCGACACATTTCAAGGAGCTTCCATGACATCCCAAGTGGTTACCAGTATTACAACCGGCAAACTTGTCATACAAGGAGTTCTTAGCGAAAAGGTCCTTTAACTTCAATACATCTCACTTCAAAATAGAGTTAAACTATTTATAAGTACCTCATTTGAAGCTTTACTAAGTTGATGTAGCATCGACATTTGTAACAGATTCCAAACTTCATGATGAACATAGCAATGTTCATCACAGCTCAAATGGCTGCTTTGTACCTCTGTTGGAGACTCGCCATTGTTGGAATCCCTGCATTGTTAATGTTAATTATTCCAGGGTTAGTGTATGGAAAGCTCTTATCTGATGTTGGAGAGAAAATTCAAGAAGCTTACGGAGTTGCTGGTGGGATAGCGGAGCAAGCACTGTCATCAGTCAGAACGGTCTATTCTTATGTCAGAGAAGAGAAGACAGCAGAGAGTTATTCGGCTGCATTGAAACCGACTTTAAAGCTTGGGTTCAAACAAGGTTTGTTGAAGGGAATGGCCATTGGTAGTGTTGGCATTGGCTATGGGGTTTGGGCACTTCAGGGATGGTATGGGAGCATCTTAGTTACTGAAAAGAACCTCAAAGGCGGTAATATATTCACTGCCGGAGTGTGCATTATCTATGGAGGATTGTAAGTTCAAAATGCTTGTCCGTGGACCTTATAATTTTAGTGTGGATAGGATTAATCATATAATCAAATTGTTATGACACTTCTTGGTCATTGGGGTTAGGTCATAATCAGTTTACCCATTCTACTCATACTGTACCTACAAAAAAAAGATAATACTGGTACTAATATGTAAATAATTTCACCTAAAAGATATGCAATTTTTGAAACAGAGGGTAACTCAACAAATGTAATATATTTCATTATTTTGGGCTTTTTTCCTCTAGAATTTTCAGAGAAAAATGGGTAATTTTTATTAGTGCTGGAAAGTTTATAGGAGAGGCACATTATTTTTAAAACCATCACCATTACCATTGCCAATTGTTCTCAACATCATTTGTGCAATCTGCCAACTACCACTCACAACAACATAGCACATTCTTTTTCAAGGGACTGTTTAGTGAATCTTTAGAAATACAAAACATACACTTTTTAAACTTAAGGTCATTTTGCAGTCGCAAAATTTATAGAAATAAAAAAAAAGGGTAGTTAACTTACTCTCAAATCTGTTCTAAGAGAAGTTGTCAGCGATGGAGTTGGTTAGGAATAGTGATTTTTAGAAGTACTTTTCTTACTTCATACTGGACCATTTAAGCTTTTCAAAAGAGTTGGGCAAAAAAAGTTAGTTTTAAAAGAATTCACTTTCATGACAACGCCCACTCAAAATTGAAAACACAAGCGTCATCATCACTAAGAAAACTTAACAAAGTTCTAGTTCTCATTCAAAGCATTTTTTTCTCATATCTCATTCCAAAAACATGGCTTTAAAATTAGTGTTTAATTGCTTACCATGCAGTGCTCTTGGGAGTTGTCTAATAAATGTCAAGCACTTTATGGATGCAAATGTTGCAGCTGCTCAGATTTTTGAGATGATTGAGCGGGTCCCAAACATAGACTCTGCAGATCAACAAGGCAAAGTCATGTCAGATGCCAAAGGTGAATTGGAGTTCAAAGACATTGATTTTGTATATCCATCAAGACCAGAAAGCAAAGTATTGCAAAATTTCAATCTTAAAGTTGATGCCTGCCAGACCGTTGGATTGGTGGGTGGCAGTGGATCGGGTAAGTCAACAGTGATCAATCTGCTTGAAAGATTCTATGATCCCCTTGAGGGAGAGATCTTACTGGATGGAATTAGCATCAAGACCCTTCAGCTAAAATGGCTGCGGAGTCAAATGGGACTAGTAAACCAAGAGCCTATACTCTTTGCGACCTCAATCAAGGAGAACATCCTATTTGGAAAAGAGGAAGCTTCAGAAGAGGAGATAGTTCAAGCAGCTAAAGCAGCCAATGCACACAATTTCATTACACAATTGCCAAACGGATATGATACCCAAGTAATGTTTGATCCATTATTTTCCTTTTCCTTTCTCTTGTTGCTCTTGTTATATTATGGATTTGCTACAAATTGGTTCTGCAACTAACCAAAAACAAAAAAAGAGGTACATACTAAGAACTATATTTTATGTTGTTCAGGTAGGGCAATTGGGAATTAAGATGTCCGGAGGGCAGAAGCAGAGGATTTCCATTGCAAGGGCACTGCTTAGAAACCCCAAAATCTTGCTGCTAGATGAAGCCACCAGTTCATTGGATTCACAGTCTGAAAAGGGTGTCCAGGATGCTTTAAATCAAGCCTCGATAGGACGTACAACTATAGTCATTGCTCATCGTCTCTCTACTCTCCGGGATGCTGATCTGATTGCAGTTATTCAATCAGGGCAAGTGGTAGAGTGTGGGTCTCATGACCAACTTGTTCAGAACATCCATGGTCCATACTCAGCAATGGTGCAGCTACAGAGAGCATTCATGAATGACAAAACTGTGTCACCATCTGAAGCAATTGAAAGTAACAAGTCCTCCGGCCGAGATAGAGATGTTGATGCAGCAGAAACAAAAAACATATCGACGACTCCATCAAATTATGGATCAAAAATGGACCAAGAAACCAAAGAACAGTATGGTCCGTACTTGTGGCACTTCATACAAATTACTGGTTCTCAGTGGAAGTCCACTCTACTAGGTTGCATTGGCGCTCTTTGCACTGGACTAATTCAGCCGATGCATTATTACTGTATGGGTGCTCTTTTAGCTGTCTACTTCATCAATGATCATGACGAAATCAAGTCACAAACAAGAAAATATTGCTTTGCCTTCTTATCGTTCGCTGTCAGTGTTTTTATCACCAATGTGATCCAACACTACAGCTTTGGAGTTATGGGAGAGAATTTAACAAAAAAGGTCAGAGAAAGCACGTTTGCGAAGATTATGACTTTTGAGATTGAGTGGTTTGATCAAGAAGACAATAGCAGTGGGGCCTTATATTCAAGATTAGCAACAGATGCGACCATGGTAAGAACTCTTGTTGCTGATATTTTGGCGTTGGTGACTCAGGCCATCTCATCAGCAACTCTATCAATTATTTTGGGTTTGGTGTTGGCTTGGAAACTTGCCCTCGCAGCTATTGCTATGCAACCACTCATCATCAGTACGTTCTATATGAAAGCAATAATGATGAGGAGCATGTCTAAGAAAATCCTGAAAGCGCAGAACAAGAGCAGTGAGTTAGCTAGCGAAGCAGTTGGAAACCACAGAATCATCAGTGCATTTTATTCTCAGGAGAAAGTTATGGAACTTTTTGCAGCTACACAGATAGGACCCAAGAATGAGAGCCTTAAGCAATCTTGGTATGCAGGGTTCGGACTATTTGTCGCACAGTTCCTCGCTGCTGCTAATGCAGGAATTCTTTTCTGGTATGGAGGAAAACTTCTCTACCATAAAGAGATCAAATACAAGAACCTCTTTCAAACATTCTTCATCTTGGTATCGACAGGGAGAATCATAGCAGAGACGGGAAGCATGAATATGGATTTACTGAAGGGGGCGAATGCTTTAAAATCAATCTTCATGATATTGAAAAGAACGAGCAAGATGAACCCAGATAAGAAGGATGGTATCAATCCAGTTAAGATAAGTGGAGATATAGAGCTTAAAGAGGTGGATTTCTTTTATCCTACAAGACCGAAACAGATGATCTTGACGGGCCTGAGCTTCAAGATTGATGCTGGAAAAATTGTTGCCTTAGTTGGCCAAAGTGGATCAGGAAAGTCGACCATCATCAGACTGATTCAGAGATTCTATGACCCATCAAAGGGATCAGTGGAAATTGATGGATTTGACATCAAGTTCTACAATTTGAGAGCTCTAAGGTCACATATTGCATGGGTAGGTCAGGAACCTACCATTTTTGCAGGATCAATCCATGAAAACATTGCATACGGAAAAGAGAATGTAACTGAAGCTGAGATAATTGAAGCTTCCACTCTTGCAAATGCACACGAGTTTATAAGGTTAATATCTCCAAGCACAAAATCACAGTTTCTTTATCAGTTTGTGTTTTTTTTTTTTTTTTGTGTGCCTTCTTGGCCAAGCATGTTCAAATTTCTATGGCTAATCCTAACCAACTTCATGAACAGTTCCATGGAAGAAGGGTATGCAACATACTGCGGAGAAAGAGGTGTGCAGCTATCAGGGGGGCAAAAGCAAAGGTTAGCTCTTGCTCGAGCAATCTTGAAAAATCCAGCCATATTGCTTTTGGATGAGGCAACAAGTGCATTAGATGTCAAAATGGAGAACCTTGTGCAAGATGCATTGGAGAAGACCATGGTTGCTAGGACATGTTTGGTTGTAGCTCATCGACTATCAACAGTTCAAAAATCAGACAAAATTTCAGTGATTGACAAAGGGAGGGTTGTTGAAGAGGGTTCTCATGATGAGCTGCTTTCAAAAGGAGAAAAGGGGGCATACCATTCACTTGTTCGACTCCAGCAGCAAGCCATCTTGAGGTAGGTAGCCTGCCGACTGCTAAAGATGCTAAACCATGACAAACAGAAGTACCACAAAGTTTAAGATGTGTAAACTGGATTTTAAGCAGCTAGCTGCACTATTTGTGGTTAATCATAAGACAAACAAGGAAAAGGTCTACTATGTGGTTTACTGGCTCTACATAAGGGCTTTAAATATTCCTTCTTTTATAGCATAAAGGTGCTTACACACATCATTATACAGATCTTATTGCGGGTTCTTCCACTTTGTCTCCCCAATTTACATGTTCTCATAATGGCTGAACTACTATAGCTTTTGTTCAGTAATTAAAAATGTGTTCATGCTTGTCTGACAGTGTATAACTTACTCTAACTTGACATATAAGTCTCATCCCAACATGTTTTTATTGTCTACATTTATTAATTAAAAATAATATTAAAACTCTGAATTCAAAAAAGACAAGGATTATTAAGACAAATGGCACATGGCATCACAGTTATCGAGGAATTCAAAATATTCAAAAATTTAGAACTGTAAAAACTATAATAAAATAAAATTAACCAGATATATTTACGAGAATAATTATCTGTTGTCCCAGCTCTGTTCTCATCATAATCATTGTTTAATTAGGAGCTAAACAGCAGGAAGGCAAACTTCTTGGCTGCATGAAAAAGAAAAAGAAAAAAAAAATAAACGTTAAATAAATCAAGTTGCAGACTTTACATGACATTTCAATTGCTCTCCAGCATCTCATAGGCTAACTAATGCTCAACCGGACACAAGTATTCCTGTAGTAAAAGATTCATACTCTCATTAACTAATAAACATGCACACAAGCCTGGTAAAAAAGAAAAAAGAGCAGCCTGCATGAATTATTAGATTTTTGCTCACCAGTTCTGTGAGACACCTAAAATTTCCTCACGACTGTTAAGCATGCTAGTAATCATCAGAAAGTTTCAAGCAAAGTTATAAAGCAGAATATGTGATCATAGAAAACCTCCCAAAAAAATGTAATGAAGATTCTTGTGTACCTGTTGATGTATATCACATCCAAGCTTATCTTCCTTTATTTTACTTTTTCAGTCTTGCATGACATGGGACTTTTATCTTTGTCGCAACAATGACCCATAGGTCAGCTCACCTAATATATATTCAGGCCATTTTCAGCAAGTGCTACTAAATATGACCCGAATCCATTTATAATCACTGCAGTAATGCAATTCTCATGGAATTTCATCTTTCTCTCTATTTATTTTCTTGAGTCCTGAGTGAGTCAGCTCTTCCTTTCCCTTCTCTCCTTATCCAGAGAAAGATATTCGTCCATCGCACCTCTTTCTGAATCTCTCTCCAACAATCCTTGTATTGTATTTGTAAGGAGATGACAATTAAAATAAAAAAATCCATACTTTGCAATAAGCACCTTTACCTTACCAACTCATGAAGGTTGAATTGTCTATGAAACTCGCAAAAGCCCCAATAAACAAAGATTGTCATGAACTTCAGCATCGACATCTCTTTGATTCAAGCATTTGGCATTTCAGACAGTAGCAGCAATATCATTTGGATGCAATGTCAACCTTGCAAAGGCTACAACAGATAGTGCATGCCATTTGATGATCCACGGAAAAAAACAAGCTCTGGAGAAGTTCTTTCACATCTTTTGAGTGCTTGCTCATCACTATCTTATAATGGATGCATTAAAAACAGATTTTGTTTTCACTGTGTTGTACATGGATGAATTTGGAGAGGAATAATCTCTAATCATATTTTAATCTAGGCAAGGAGTGGTGTTGGAAATACTGCGAAACATCCTTTTTTCGGTGTGCAGACTGATGCTGATAAGACAAGTCAAGGTATTCCCGGAACTGTAGGTTTAGTTTATGACAGTGTTTCACTTGTCAGACACTAAATATATCCTTCATTCTATTGCACAACCAAAAATGTCTGGATTCATTTTGGTTCAGTTTTAGGGAACCCAATGCCATTTTTTTTTTTGCTGACATGATTTGGTTTACAGGGAAACCAAATTGAATCCAACCATCAGTGCACCACTAATGTCTTTAGTCGCACAATTTATAAAAAACAAAATGATGCATCAATAGTCCTGCTGGTGGACAACCGTGATAACCTAAAACCCACAATTCAATGATTACTTGGAGTTGCATCAACACGTCTCCACAACCAACCTCAAAAGGAAGTATAGTACTTGGCGAAACACCATTTGCCAAGGTTAAAATCTCCATAAAAATAATAACTCCTCGAAATAACAATAGACCCACGTACAACACACTAACAAAATATTATGAGGTAATAACAAGCATTCCAATGATAAATAGCATAGAACTTTACAGTATGCTGATGATTTTGTGTCAAAAACTGGTATGCCTTTCTTGTAGCAGGCTTTGCATCATTGACATGGCAACCAAATGAGTGCTAGCATACAGAGGACCACATGTTTGTACCAGTGATGCACAATGCTGAAGTTCATAACAAAGATTCAGCTGTTGAGGTCTTGTGCAAGTTGCATGAACAATGTTCCCTGCATAGGCTCAGGTAAAGGTTGCACACTCCTAAAACATGGATATTCTCTCTGATTAAATCCTCGTCGCTAGAACGAGGGTCATAGAAGTAAGATTTAGGAGAGAAGCAATGGATGAGGCATGCTGTGAAGCAGATATCCTTTTGAAAAAAGTGCAGGGAGGAAAGGAAAAGTTCTGTAGAAGAGAACAATAGGAGGGAAGATAGAATTGCATGAGATGCGCATTAACGCTTTGAATGTGAATGCAATAGTTTCAAAGAAGTCACAGAAAGCCACACAAAATGTCTGAGATACTTACCAATTCATGAGAGACGGGATCAATGATTTGAAGGTGTAAATATATATATATATTCATTTGATGTCTTGCTCATGGTGCTTTCTTTGCTACTTGCTGAAGGTTCTGCTGTGTAGTTACGGCATTTTATAGTTTTGGCTAGGTTATACTATTACTATGGTTACCTGATGTGGTTTACTGTTGAGGTTGATTGGATACGCTGTACATATAGCAATTTTGGTTTTGTTAGTTCTAAGATATGTGATTGGTTTTTGTTCCTAATTGATAGATAGGAACATATCTGATTGTTTTGTTAGCTAGGAGCATATCTAATAACTAGTTCTGACATCTGAGTTCTTGTAGTAAATCTTAATCAATGGAAGAAATTAAACATAATAATAGGCTGTATTATGCCTCTTGAATTTTGTATGTTTTTTCATTATCTTGTAAAAATATCTTGCTCACTTAAAAAAAAGGGACATTGTAAATTGATTAATCATTTTTTTTTTCCTGTGTATATTTTTTTGTTTATTCAAGAAAATACGTACAACCTCTTTGTTGCAGGTTAAGAAAGCTAATTATAGTTTATTTTAATTTGGGAATCTATGTCAAACTGTGTGGTATAGCTTCTGTTTATAACTTATTAGGCAAAAATAGCTTAAATAAGTTGAAAAAAACTGATTATCTAGAAGCTGAAGCTAAAGAAATGATGCTTTTTTTTAACTTTTGCTTTCTAATTAGGGCGAATTACACCAGTGGTTAGTTTGAAGCTTGTGTCGCTTTGGTCTCTAACCTTTCAATTGTGATATATTTGATCCTAAATTTTGAATCTCGTTCCAAATCAAAACAATTGAAGACATTGTTGCTCCATTTCAAGAGCAAAATCGTCAAATTGATAAAATATAAACTAATTTGAAAAAAATTATTGTCAAAAAATTATTTTTGAATTTTTAAAAATTATTTCTACCTATCAAAGATAAAATTATATAAAAATGATAAATCTTTTACATTTTTTTATTTATTTTTTTTACCAAATTAATTTTTATTATGTGTTTAGATGTTGATCATGTAATGGGTAGTTGTTTTTGTTGATATTTTTGAATGGTTATCATGTAATAGATGGTTGTATTTGTTGTTAACAATTTTTTTTTTATGGTTATCATGTAATGGATGGTTATTAGATTTTAATATGTAATCGATATATTTAATATATAAAATGTTTTTAGTTTTGAATTTTTTGATTTTATAGATTGATTTAATAATGACATCAAAATTATCCCCATATTTGACTTTTGAAAAAACAAAAACTAGTTTAACGAAGACAAATATAAAAAAATATATTTTAAAAAATTATTTCTACTCTCTCAAAATATAAAATTATAAAAAAAGATGTGTTTCTAATTTTTTTCACCAATTAAATTTTTAGTTTCTTAGAAAAATTTCTTGAAAATAGATTCTAAAAACCAAACAAAACAAAACATAACTTTATAACAAAGAAAGTTTCAACATTATTCATTAAAAAAATAAATAAATAAATAAAAAACATTACATTTCAAACAACATATAAGTTAACCAGCACAAAATAAATTATATAACGATTTTGCTTTTAAAATAGACCGTTTGCAAAGGAAAATAGACCATTTGTTTAAAACAAGATTCAAAATCAGAGTCAAATATACTACTATTGAAAAATCAACAACCAAAATGATACAAGTCTCAAATTACAGGAACTGTTAGCATAATTCGCCCTTCTAATTTTCACATTTTAACCTCCAATAAGCTGTACCAAACAAGCCAAATAGACTCAAAGAATTACTCAAAATTTAGACTTGATAATGTATAGTAAATTATGATTATTGTTATTTTCCATCTTATCCCCACCATATCCAGATTCTAATGTCTGAAAAAAAAATCACTATATTCCGTGTCTGTGTCTGTGCATTTAGTTTGCAACCCTAAACTGAATCAACCGTACAAGAACAGAACAAATAAAAAATCAAAAAACTGCAGTTTGGCTACCTCCAATTTTTATAACGGTGGTCCCATTTCAGAAGATGGACTGCACATTTATGTTTAACATAAAAATCTACATATATTCAATCTACCAAACGTTCCTGTTCCTGTGCAACATGAAAGAAAAATAATCATAACTCAACAAGCTTACTCTGTATTAAAATAAAAACCCAATTTCAATTGTGGCATTTATATCTATGACGACAATCCACAGGTTCAAACAAAAAATGAAAATTGTTTAGCGCAAAGACAAGTGCGATTGATAAACACGAATAAGAACAAAACAATCTTACCTTTTTATTCTAGTTTTTATGTGTTGATGGTGCTGAAGAAGATGATAGATACTTTTTGCAGGTTCAGTGTTCGTGAAAATGTCAATGATGACCCATACACTTGGTTCGCTCTGTCTGTTGCAAATTGTTTGGGGGATTTTAAAAGGTTGTGCAGTGTGGTGGCGGTGGATGAAATCGGTGGATCACGCAGTTCGCGAGGAGAGTAAAGCCGGTGGAGGAGACGATTGGGATGAGTTTTCAACTAGGAATGTAAGGTTGGTTTAGCATGTGTTACTTTGCCACATTTTTTTATCTTATTTGAATTATATTATTTTTTATTTAAATTATATTAATTTTTTTATAAAAAAATTAAAATATATTTATTTAAATCATCTCAAACAATTAATACAATTTTCCTTAAGATGACACTAACACGATTTTTCCTTAGGTGCAAAACATTTATTACATGATCTGATGGAAATGAGTTTTTTTTCAAATGATTTATGTCCAAGAATAAAAATGGTTTTTTTTTTTTTTCAATCAAATTTATTAATTTGATGAAAAAATACTAAAAATTTGTCTAATTTATTCATCAAACGAAGAGAAATATTTTTTTATCCAATTAAAAATTTGATAAAAATTTCAAAAGTTGAAACATCAGAGATAAAATTTTTCCATCAAATTTGATGAAAAAGACAAATTTGGAATGAGAGAAATTTTTTTAAAAAGATTTTGATACCAAAAAAAATATAAAAAAAAATGATCAAAATGTTGAAATAATTTATATTAAATCAAGTCTTCTATTTAAATTTAAAATCAAATTAATCACGCTTACTTACGCCTGATACATTTTTCATTACAATTAGAATATATGTATTAATACTTGCACATTATGAAGAAAGTCTTATACCAATGGGAAATTCTCTCTTTCCGAAACTAATGTCTTGTATCAAAGAAACATATTGCCAAGAACACTGATCACCTAGACATACTTTGCAACACTGTTGCCTAAACAAAAAAAACAAAAACAAAAACAAAAACAAAAAACAGACAACTTAACGGATTCACTTAATTTGAAAAATAAAAAAACACAAATGACAAGTATCAGCCTCATTCAAACAACAAATACTGAACAATAAATATATTTCCACTTCCCAAAGAACCAAACAAGTTCTCACTAATACTGGGAAAAAAATAAAAATTGAAGCACTTTACTAATAAAAACTATCATAACTTACAAGCTTACAACTGATAATGCCTCCCATGATCTCAACTTCCACATATTACACCTCTTTTGCCTACAGAAAAAGTATACCCTCCTTGTCTTAAGTTTCAATTTAAGAGTGATTTATCATAAATGCCCTCAAACCAATAAGGAATTGCTTCTTTCTTCTATGAGCAGAGCAAGAACGTCGTTGTTGGAGAAATATTTTTGAGGTTAAGCAACACTACAATGGAGAAGAAAGCATTGTATTTACAGCAAAAAGGCACCAATCATGTCCACGTACAAATAATTCCATTCTTGTCAGCAGAGGCAAGAGGTTTTCCAAGACCACTCCACGAACAACATAGAACAGAAGCGGTGTGTTCCTTCAGAGTGCTCACTATATTGCCTTTTGATACTGACCAAATGTAGACAGATCCATCAGCAGATCCAGCAGCAACATAATTGTCGTCTGGACTAATGCATGATCGGCTCCAATTCGATGCCACTCTGTTTCCACTTGCTCTTAATGTGCCACAAACTTCTAAAGACCGTATATCAAACAAATTATGCAAGTTGTCTCTCCCACTAGTTAATATTACATTTCCATTTCGAGAAGGAGAGATTGAAGTAATAGCAAGTGAATGTGCAGCAACTTCACTGAGGAGCTTCCCTGTCTGAATATCCCACAACCGAAGATTCCCATCAATGTGACCTGAACAAATGGTCTGCCCATCCATGCTGAAACAAAGGGCATTGCAATTGCTATGGAAAATTATAGTGTTGACACAGTAACCTTTATGCAGATCCCAAACTTTTATAGTACGATCATAAGCTGCACTTACTACGTGGCGGCTTGAAACTTTGCTCACATCTACAGCACAAACTTTATCTGTGTGGCCTGTCAGAGTATGATTCATCCGACCAGAATTTACATCCCACACATATAAATTGTTTGAACTGCTTGCAGCAATTATGGATTTGTTATCATGGGTAACGGCAAGATCAAGAACAGAACCTAGGCAACCATAAAGACTGCGACTCAGTGACCCAGTGTTTGTATCCCACATTTTGATAGTTCTGTCCTGTCCTCCACTAACCAATTTTCCAGAATTGTATTCAAAAAATATAGCAGCACAACCACCTTCATGTGCTGGCATCTTGTGCTTGCATGCAGTGGGAATAGTAGACTCCACATAGAATTCAGCACCTTCACTTCGGCGGACCACACCATCAACTTGCTGCCTTGCAAGTTGTTCTATACCACTTGCCTTGAGCTGATCAAGCATATCTTCATAAAGTGCATTAACCTAATATCATAAGCAAAAAAAACAGGTTAAACAGCTAGAAACTTGCGCATCTGAACTCTTTGAAAAATCGAAGAAAATGAATGAGCACAATCTCTTGAAATCAAATGGGGAGAAGGACGAATATTGGTTTTGATCCAGCAATCCCTCTAACAGGTTTATACCCCTCCCCCAACCCCCCTACTTCTCTACCAGTGTTATTAAAGGCGATAGGCGCACCAAGGCGCCAAGGTCTCTTAGGGCCTAGGCCCAATGCGCGAGGCGAGGCGAGGCGAGGCGCAGGTTTCACTGAAGTGAGACGTACCTTGTACATAAAAAAATATATAAATTTAATATAACTAAATAATTTAGGGTTCAACATAAGTAAAATAAAATCTTAAACATTTAAAAATATATGTACCAACAAATACTACTATTTTAACATAGACAAATGAACAATATCTCAAATTTTAACATAAAACATTAATAAAATGAGAGGGGAGAAAAAGAATAAGAAGAGGGGGGGAAAAATAGATCAGTCTAAAGAATGATTAGAAAGAAAAGAAGACCAGAGAATAAACATAAGAAGATGGAAGAAGAAGAAGGCAACATCATCACGGCCATGTAAAGAAGAAGATAGCAACGTAGAGAAGACAATAACGTAGACAAGAAGAAGAGAACAGAACAGAACATAATAGAATGATACAGAAACGTAAGAATATGTTAAAATGTACCAAAACCTACCACTACACCTACTCCACCCACTTCACCTACTCTTCACCTACTCCTCACCTACTACACACCCACCCTCTCCTATATATAGGAATCATTGTAACCATAACAATATATCAATCAATAATACATCTATTTCTTACATGGTATCAGAGCAGGTTTAGAACCTAATATTTTCGCTTCACCGGCGGGCGGCAACCTCACCTTAGCCGTCCGCCGGACCTCAACCTATTCCGCTTATTTTCTACGCATACCTTCCCATCGTTGCCCTTGACCTCTCATTTTCATAGCCAAATCTCCTACAAATACAGAAAGATCTGAACCCGTATCCACACGCCTATCACCTGTGCTGAAGCCTGCCCAAGTTAGGCGGAAGAGAAAACCTCGCCGGTGTGAGCGACGCAGGTGTTGACGTAGCATTCGTGCATCCATTGTTGCAGTTCACCGATCCAGATCATCCTCTTCTCTTCACTAGAAACTCTCTCGCTGCAAGCCTCGCCGGAGTCGCCACTGCCCTACCTCATCTTCGACGACATCGACACATACTCCGTCGACGACATCGCCATCCGAGGCTTCAACTCGACGTTACTCTCCCTGCTATCACAGGAATGTGTGCTCTCTGTCGCCGCCGATGGTCGCAGTCCCTCCATCGTCGCCGCTGTCGTCTTCGATCTCCCTCCTCCGCCGTTGTCACTCTGACACGCTGGTGCACGGCTCCGACTATACACACAGATCTGTGTGTATGTATATATGTATATATATATATACCTCTCTCTCTCTGGACAACTTTGAGGAATACCCACGTGTGCGAACGTTGGGTCTGTTACAAGTTGGGCCACGTACATCTATTCTTAATTGAATCCAGCTTGCTTCATTGCTTTACTAAAAGACCGTGCACCCACTCAATCTTTTTCTCTCTCTCTCTCTCCCTTTAAACCCTCTTTTTTCCTTTCTTTTTCTTTTAATATTTACCTCCCTTTTTTTATTCGTTTTATGCTTCTTATCATCCTCCTCATCTTGTACCCCCCTTTCTCTCTCTCATTTTTTCACTATCTTGTACCCCCCTTTCTCTCTCTCATTTTTTCACTTTCCAATCTCCCGAGGCACATGCTTTCGCCATTAATCTATTCTTCTTATTATTATTAAAAAAAATAATAATAATAAATAAATAAAAATAAAAATAAAAACCAACAACCAACACAATTTACCAATCTGCACAACAACTCATATTTTATTCATCTCAGGGATCAACCCTGATCGAAAAAAAAAAAAAAACAAACAAACCCACAAAAACCAAGTGAGATGGTTTGCACAATCCTAGTAGGACTTTACTCTCCTTAGCAGAGTCCTCCTAGGAGTCACACTCCTACTCACTACCAACCAAGTGAAATGGTTTGCACAATCCCAATAGGACTCTACTCTCCTTAGCAGAGACCTACTAGGAGTCTCATCACTGCAAGCCAAGTGAGATGGCTGAACCCTTTACCTCGGTTATACATTTCTGACCGAACTGCCTTATCTCGGTCCCCTGCCATTCAGACCGTGTGATCGAAAGCTAATCTATCGAATGCCACCCTACCGAGCTATACACAGCTTGGCTCTCGCCATTGATGTTACTTCCTTTACCTCGGCTGACATTACGGTCAACCAGGTTATTTCGGCTCGGTGATACTTTAAGTACCACTATCAGTCTTGACTCTGAGATGACGCCCTGCAGAGCTATCCTTTAGCTCGGTTCTCCCCCCATTGATACCTCAGTTTTGTCTGTTTAGACCGAGCTAACTGCAGCAGCCTCCGACCGAACTAACAAGGACAAGGTTTAGGTTGCGAAGCCCAAACACCTTGGCCTATAGTTCGTCCCAAATCCGTAATATGAGATGTCTTCTTGGCCTAAGACTGAGCTACACCAGGCCTTATCTTGGCCCATTGCGCGGCCCCACTTCCAAATAAGACTTTCCTAGCTTGGCCCAATTTGCTTACAAATTACCCTCTCAATTGCCCCTTAATTCCATCTGCGCAGCATGATTGGGATTACTCTCCTCTAGCCGAGCTAAAACGCTCAACTATGCCGAACTAGAGAAGTTTGTTTGATCTAACAACTCGTTCAGTCCCAAAAAGTCTGGTCAGTTGCTCAGCATGTCATTCCACTAATCTGGCATGTCTGATACGACGTTATCCCAATGACAGGTGGCGTGCCCCCATTAGCCCCGTTCTCCTATTACAGCCGTCATGCCAAAAATTTGAATAGCCCTGTTTTTTTGCCTTCAACGTATATATTCTTCGAGTTTGTAATCGTACAGCGAGTCGTTCTTTTTGTGTCTCGCCGAGTAGACTAACTCGGTTTATACTAACCTTGCCAACCAGCTTTGACCGAGACAACCATCTCGGTCTAGGAAAAAATTTGTTGGTCAAACCTGCCAACTTGCTTTGGCCGAGATAACCATCTCGATCCAAGAAAAAATTTGTTTGTCAAACCTGCCAACCTGCTTTGGCCGAGGTAACCATCATCCCGGCCAAAAAGTTCAAAAATTTGTTGATCAAACCTGCCAACCTGTTTTGGCCGAGGTAACCATCATCCCGGTCAAAGAGTGCAAAAGTTTGTTAGTCAAACCTGCCAACTTGCTTTGACCGAGATAACCATCATCCCGGCCAAAGAGTTCCAAAAATTTTGTTAGTCATACCTGCCAACCTGCTTTGGCCGAGGTAACCATCATCCCGGCCAAAGAGTTCAAAAAATTTTGTTGGTCATACCTGCCAACCTGCTTTGGCCGAGGTAACCATCATCCCGGCCAAAAAGTTCAAAAAATTTTGTTGGTTATACCTGCCAACCTGCTTTGGCCGGGGTAACCATCATCTCGGCCAAAGAGTTCAAAATTTGTTGGTCAAACCTGCCAACTTCCTACAGCTTAGATCCTCATCTCGGCTTAGGAGAGCTAAATGTTGGTTATTCCTACCAACCTTCTTCAGCGCGGATCTTTATCTCGGCTTGAAGAAGAGCTAAATGCTTGGCCATTCCTGCCAAACTTCTTGATTGCCCCCCAATAGGGCAAAGACTTGTTGGTCAAACCTGCCAACTTTCTGCAGCCTAGATCCTTATCTCAGCTTAGGCGAAGTGTTGGTTTTTCCAACCAACCTCTTCAGTCCAAATCCTAATCCTAGGTAAAGAGAGCTCAAAGTTGGTTATTCCAGCCAACTCTGAGCGAAGTGTTTGGTTTTTTCAGCCAAACGTCCTGCAGCCTGGATCCTTATCCTCGGCTTAGGAGAAGTGTTGGTTTTTCCAACCAACCTCTTCAGCCCAGATCCTAATCCTAGCTGAAGAGAGCTCAAAATTGGTTATTACGGCCAACTCTGAGCGAAGTGTTTGGTTTTTCCAGCCAAACGTCCTGCAGCCTGGGTCCTTATCCTCGGCTTAGGAGAAGTGTTGGTTTTTTCAGCCAACCTCTTCAGCCCAGATCCTAATCCTAGCTGAAGAGAGCTCAAAGTTGGTTATTCCGGCCAACTCTGAGCGAAGTGTTTGGTTTTTCAAGCCAAACGTCCTGCAGCCTGGATCCTTATTTTGTTACTTTCTTGACCTCTCAAGCTGCCTTTATAGAATTAGGAATGGCAACGGGGCGGGGCGGGGCCGGGGATCACCCTCCTCGTCCCCGATCCCCGAAGCTGCAAAACTCCCCGTCCCCGTCCCCGATCCCCGGCGGGGAACCCATCACTCCCCCCACCCCCGCCTCCTAACGAGGATCGGGTTTCCCCGACCCCGGAAAATCCCCGTAACTCTCTCTCTCTCTCTTTCTCTGTTTTTAGCTCTCTCTCAATAATGAATCATCAACAACGACATGATTTTCATCAACAACAAAATTATCAACAATAACAACATCATTTTCATTAACAACATCATCACAAAAAAAAAAAAGAGAAGAAGAAACAGAGTCGGAGAGACACACAACACACATACATGAGATCTGAGATATGAGAAAAAGGGAATCGGCTTGGCGGTGGCGGTGGCGGTGGCGGTGGCAGTGGCCGGATCTGCTTAGATCTGCTGTGGCGGAGGGAGGAGGAGGCGGTGAGAGGCCACGGAGGAGGAGGAGGAGGCGATGAGAGGCCACGGAAGAGGAGGAGGAAGCGACGGATGAGGAGGTGGCGAGAGGCGATCCGGCTGCGAAGGAGGAGACGACGAAGCCATCGTCGACTGCGGAGAAGGAGACTACGACGCCGTCGCCGACTACGCCATCGGAGGAGGAGGAGACGAAGAGAAGAGAGAGAGAGAGAGAGAAAGAGAGAGAGAGAGAGAGAAAGACAGATCAGACGGGAGAGTGAGAGAGACATATCAGAGGGGAGAGTGAGAAGAGAGAGAGAGATAAAATGAAAGACAGATCAGGGGCATTATTAGTAAAGGGACTTTATATGTATATATATGAATGAATGAATGGAGGGTATAACAGTAATTTTATTTCGGGGAGTACACGGGGTCGGGGACGGGGCCGGGGACGGGCCGGGTCCGGGGCTGTCAAAGCTATCCCCGTCCCCGGCCCGGAACTGTTCGGGGATTCAATTTCAAATACCATCCCCGGCCCGTCGGGAGTATTTTTCGGGGAAAAACCACTCTTATCGGGGACGGGGGGTCGGGTCCCCGTCGGGCCGGGTTTAAATTGCCATCCCTACCTGGATCCTTCTCCTTGGCTTAAGAGAAGTGTTAGTTTTTCCAGCCAACCTCTTCATCCCAGATCCTAATCTTAGCTAAAGAGAAATCAAAGTTAGTTATTCCGGCCAACTCTGATTTTATTTAGAAAGAGTTGGTCAATCCTGCCAACCCACTTTGCCCCCAGTTGGGCAAAGATTTTTCACTTGGTTAGTCCTTCTTGTCAACCGTGCTAACTTTTGTCGAAGGTGTTCTGTTCGACATCGCTATTTGTGCCGAACTCTGCCTTGGCGTTCGTTCTAAATCTGGTCACAAATGCCTCCGCTAGTTGTGCCCACGAAGCTATGCTACCTTCTGGTAGCCTCTCAAACCACGTTAAACCCAGGTCACCAAGGTTGTGGGTAATGGTGTGTTCTCTATTGTCGGAACGAACGGTGAGCTCTGCAACCTCGCTAACGCTTTGTCTGCTGGTTCATAGGAAAGGCGTGGCTCTGGAATTCCAACCTCGACACTCCCATGTGTTCTAGGAACCAATTGTTGTAGTGCGGAGACTCTGCAGGGGTCGCGAGCTTGGGTGTCTTTTCTCCTTCGAGCCCTTTCAGTCTTCATTCTCTCAGGCCTAGAGTAGCGTGTCCTGGAAGTCTTTGATTGTGTATCACTCGACCTGAGGCTTCTACTTTCAATTTGTGATAGTGTGACTTGTCTGTCACGATCTTCTGAATGGCAAGAGTATGTGTTGCCTTTCATTTTGTGCTTCATCGTCTCTATGTCAGCCGCCATTCTTCTTATTACTTCGTCTTGTTCCCTTACGCGATCTTCAAGAACCTGAGGATCCATCTTCCGTCTCTGTCTATCAGGGCTTTGAGAGCGGTGTGGACTTGAGCCCTGTCTTTCTCTTGCTTCTCTCCGTGGATGTAACAACCCTCATCACTGATCACTGATTGACCATTGATTACTGATACTGTCACTGATTACTGCTAAACTAAGACTGACTGAATTCCAAAACTGATCGATCGACGGTATCTGTTTAAATACATGTCTATCTGTTTGACTGTTGAACTATCTGTTCATGTTTATATGTTTAAACTGCTAATAGCCGAGGCAGCCACGCGCATCGCGCGCCTCTTGCCGCCCGACACACTGGCACGCCTTTTCAGGGCACATCTTTTGATAAAATGGACACACCTTTTAATGGCACACCTTTTGATGAATTGGGCACGCCTTTTGATGGCACGCCTTTTTGACAACTTTGGGCACACCTTTTGAGGGTGCAACTTTTTAAGGGGTCCGACAAGACTCTGTAAACTGTCCCGACATTGATTCCGGTTAGCTCCTTTATCGGTCCGACATGACCCCATAAACTGTCTTCTACAACGGTCCGACATGACCCCATAAACTGTCTTCTACAACGGTCCGACATGACCCCAATCTTTACCTTCACTTACTCCACTACACACTCCACTTCACCTAACCCACTATCACCTCCACTACACCTACTACCACATTTTCTTCTATATATAGATTGTATAGGAATTGTAATCAATCAATCTTGTAATACATCAATACATCAATCAATCTTTACCTTCACTTACTCCACTACACACTCCACTTCACCTAACCCACTATCACCTCCACTACACCTACTACCACATTTTCTTCTATATATAGATTGTATAGGAATTGTAATTAATCAATCTTGTAACAATACAATCAATAATAATACATCAGTATTACTACACACTCCACTTCACCTACCTCCACTTCACCACACACTCCACTTCACCTAACCCACTATCACCTCCACTACACCTACTACCACATTTTCTTCTATATATAGATTGTATAGGAATTGTAATTAATCAATCTTGTAATACATCAATCAATAATATACTTCAATATTGTTTACAGTATTCGTCTATTTTCTTGTTTTGTTAGTCTCTCCAAACTCAAGTTGGTTAGTTCCTATCTCCCTTGAGTTTGCGGGGGGCTGTTAAAATGTACCAAAACCTACCACTACACCTACTCCACCCACTTCACCTACTCTCCACCTACTCCTCAGAAAAGAAGACCAGAGAATAAGCATAAGAAGATGGAAGAAGAAGAAGGCAACATCATCACGGCCTTGTAAAGAAGAAGATAGCAACGTAGAGAAGACAATAACGTAGACAAGAAGAAGAGAAGAGAACAGAACATAATAGAATGATACAGAAACGTAAGAATAGAAGAACAAAAAAAAGACGACAACGTGGTGAAGAATTTTTGGGTTTGTTGGATTGGATAATAAAGGCATGCAGTATAGTAAAGTGTTCTTCGGAAATTAGGAATCAGGGCTAATTTTTCTTTTATCATTGATTTATGGTTGAATGCCCAATGCATTGGCATGTGTAATAAGAGTAAGGATCTTTTGTAGTTGCATCAACTTAAATCAATGGTCAGATTTTAAACAAAACCAATAGAAGCAACAATAAAAAGAAGCTCTCAAGACTTGGGCCTTACTGCTCCTTGGACCAGTCGTGTGCCTTATCGAAGTCGCCTAGCCTGGAACACTATAAGGCGCAAACCTTGGGCCAAGATGGGACTTGGGCCTAGGCGCTCGGCTAAGCGCACCTTTAATAACATTGTTCTCTACCCATAAAAAAGGTGAGTAAAAGCACATGTTCAGCTCTCTCTCTCTCTCTCTCTCAGTTACGCCATGGATTCAAATCTCAGCAACATATGTAGGCTTCAGTTCAGAAATAGTGGTTAAAGAAAATATCATTCCAACCAATGGATTTGGTCCCCTAGAAAAGGCCTTCACCCAAGAGTCTAGGATCCTTGCAATTTATGTCATTCAATAATCAAGATGAGCAAAATTTTGTATACATTCCACTCCAACATGTCCTCCAAAAGAGAGAGATTTAACAACCAATTGGTGTAATCATATAGCTCTTAGTTCCTTGTGTTGAAATTAGTGTTCAATACTCTCATTGCAGATTCAACTGTTCAATTGGACCCTAGAAGAGAGGTCTTTGGTTTCTTCACAGAGGAAAAATATGTCGTATCCACATCCAGACTTAAATATCTTCAAATTCTTCTTCCATGGAAGAGTTATAATAGCAAACTTTTGTAACATATAGACTTTAAAGTTTCTCGATCAAATTACACTTTACACCCCTTCACGAAAATTTGTTACATTTTGCCCCTTCTTCTTTTGATTTATTTCAATCTCAACCTTCCATTGACATTGTGTTAGGAAAAGTGGATAGAAAAGTAAATGTGAGTGAGCTATACATGCCAATTTTATGACCAAAAGACTCATTCAAAAGTTGACTTATATACATATTATATGATAGATACACGTATAAACCCAGCTACCAAGGATAGCACACGAAATCAGGTGTCCTTAAATTTTTTTATTTTTTCCCATTTTCGTCAAAGTTTAAAATGAACTCTATAAATTCCATTCAAACCTGTGCTTTGTCATTCAAGGAATAAGAAATTTGCCTCACGTTTGTGTATGGCGAGTAAGCTTTCAATTTAAATTAATAACCCATATCATATAGCTTCGAAAAATTATTACACACCATGCAAACGCAGATTTACGAAATGGTTTGTTAATAGCTTTCTTGGCATTGTGCACCACTTACATTATTGGTTTTGGCTTTTCCAATCCCTAGATAAATGCATAAAACTAAACTTTTGCTCTGGTAATAAAAACTTGGGGAAATTTATAGTAATAAACAGGGCTTTCTTGTCAGATTTTGAGGGGGATCTCCCTTGCTCCCCTCTATGTCCTTGCATATAATGCAAATATATATAATAGTACTTCTTCTCCCCCCAACCCTCTCCCCTTTTCGTTCATCCTTACCAACTACAACAATAAAACAAATTACCTCATTCAGACGTTCAGCATCCTGCATTTTTTGTAACATCCAACGGTCAATTAACGTCTTATTTTCAGCCTCAGCTGTTGTTGCTCTCACAATCATCTCCTCAAGTTGAGCTTTTATCTCCTGGTTCTCACTTATTACCAATTCTAAAGCTTTAGTCTTTTCTTCTAAAAGCGCTGACAAATGAGTGCATTCATCCCTGCAGCATGTACATTTGTTTCAATAATCCATCTGACACTTTAAATTTTCAATGTCTTTCACCCCCATTGATTATGGGAAAAGAACATAAAGTAATAAATAAAATAAACCTTGCTTTTGTAAGCTCATCTTGCAGATTAGAAATTAAGGTTTCTTTCTCTTGAACTAAAGCTTTTGAAGCTCTGGACTCAGCCACCTCCACCACAAGCTGCGCAGATAATCGAGATTGAGCTTTGTAACATTGCTGAAGTTCCACTTCAAGATTTTCTGCCTTCTCTTTCCATTCTGAGCCCTTCAAAAACAAAACAAACAAAACTAACAAGCTCAATCGTACCATGCAAAACAAATAAATCATAAAGACAAATACAATTGATAAGAAATCGAAACCCAGGAAAATGCCCAATTGTTTATAAGTAGCAGAGCCAAACACAAATTTAAACAAATGCATAGAATTCATGCATTCATCATATGAAAGGAAGACATGATGGCATAATTTTTATTTTATTTTTAAAAATTATGGCCCTTAAAGAGCTCAATTGGGGAAAAGGAATTCAACCATAAAAAGTGTTACATTGTGTTTAATTGAACATTGGAAGGCATACATCATTGTCGATCTCATGCCCACTCAAGAATCAAACTCAGGTTTTGTTTAGTGAATTTCTACTTCCAAAAAACAAGGTTCAAAACCCAATTTACCATCCCATCACACACGAGCAAAAGTGTTTCAATGACCAAAATTTAAAAGGCGAAAATTACCACCAAAAAAAAAAAGTGAAAACAACTCAAAATATTGCAACTTTCATGGAGGTTCAATTGGTATTGTGTGCGGTGCAAGTGAATGAAAATACAATTATTTTAAGTTGTTTCTACATTTTAACAATTCTCCCAAATATAAACTTGTTCCATACTATATCCAGAAAAAAAAAAGGAACCAATTTGAACAATTTCTAACACACACACAAAATTGACAATTATGATATATATAAATAAATAAATAAGGCAACTTTAAGTCAATTGGATCAGTCATTTGCATTCCAATAAAATAAAAAAAAAACATTAATTCATCAAGAAAGATACATATACATCGAAAAATTGAAGTAACTATGAAGTGATTTATACCTGAGCAGCAAGAGGCTTAGAAAGAGCGATGAAAGCAGGAGAATGAGCGGCCTCTTCGAGCAAATGCCGCTTCCGAAGAGCCTTCAAAGCGTGCTTGATTGCATCCATGGCGATTTCGTTTTGCAACCTTCAATTGTAGATTTATTATTATATATCAATGTATAAGCAAGAATAGAGAAAATTGACGCCATTACAATAAGCTTACATGGTGATTGAATCGGAGTGCGAATGAGAAATCGCTTGACTTTAGGGTTTCTGAACAGGGGTTTCTTTCTTGAATTATGTTTTGATTTGCAAAAGCGAAAATAATTTTGGAAAATAAATAAATAAAATGTCAATTCACCAAATTTATTCAAGAAAGCTTTAAAGTGACGTCACTCTGCGTGAAAGATTAGGAAACTCTCTCCAACCCCAGTGAATATGACACAAATTGACTTTCGAATTTTAGTAATTATTTTTTTGGTAAATTACAATAAAATACAAGTAGGCTTGAGTTTCTAATTGGGAATGGTATCCCACCAGTTTAATCATGGATTAGATGGTACTGTTAAGTCTATAGAAATTTATTATAGGTTTCGTTTCGATAATTTAAACCGTTAATATGTATAAATCGTCGAGTACTATATGTCTGTAAAAACTCACATGGATCAGATATCAATAACTATATGATCAAATCAGTTTTCTATGAAAAAAATAAGCAGTGAAGTATAAATGGCTTACAAAAATCTAATTTAATCACATAACTATTGATATCCAATTAAATTAATTTTTTACATGCATATAGTACTCAACGATTTCTACATATTGCAACGGTTCAGATTATCAAAATAAGACTTGTGATAGGCCCCCAGAGGCCAAATAATACCCTCCAATCCGATCATGGACAGGAGAAAAGCTCTTCCCTTTTTAATTTGTCAATTTTGGTGATGTTTGAAAATTTAAAAATTATGATAAATTATATTTACCTCCCGAGATTTTTGACAAATACAGGGACCTCTCCTGTGGTTTAAATAATTACAGTAATTTCCCTGTTTTACTTGACAATGTCAAGATTTTCCCTTTTGTCAAATTGTTCCAAACGGTGTTACTTTTTTTTTATAGTAAATTATCTTATTGTCATTCCTTTTAAAATATTAAAAAATATTTTTGGATTGGAGGATAGCTTTGAAAAAAACAAACGGTGTTTGGTAAAGTATTTTTGGATTTATTTTATTAAAATATTAAAAAATGTTTTAAAAATTTATTTTTTATTTTAAATATTTTATTTTATTTTGTAAATATTTTAATTTTTTTTAATTTTAATATTTTAAACTCAAAGCACAACTTCACACTCAAATCGTAACCAAACACATAACTCAAAACTTAATTCAAAAATTATTTTCAAACCTCATAGCTAAACACATAACTCGATACTCCACATTATTCTCAAAACTCTATACTAAAATTGTAACCAAACGCATAACAAAAAAATTAAATATTTAAAAATATATTAATAAAATAAAATAAAAACTATATATTTAAAATAAAATTTAAAAAATTAATATTTAAAAAATATATTTAAAATATTAAAAAAAATACAACACATAGATGTATGAAATATAATGCACATTAAAATAAATAAATAAATATTTAAAATATAAAATATTTACCCTAAAAAAATAATTTCAAAAAATTTCAAAATTAATAACCAAACAAATTTTTTCTTTTCAAAACTCATAACTCAAAATACGACTCCACATTTAAATATGATCCTAAAAATAATTTTAAAAAATAAAATAATTTTTTTTTGAAAAATTTTTTCTTTTAAAGTAGAGTTTTTGAAAAAGTTTGGTTCTGAGTTTTCAAAAGAGTTTTGAGTAAAAACATGTTCTGAAAAAAGATTTTTTTTTTGAAACATGTTTGGTTCTCTTTTAGAATCACAATTTCAATTAGAAATTTTTAAAAATCTTTTCAAAATTCATAGTCTTAACCAAATGCACAACTCAAAACTCAATTTAAAATTATTTTCAAAACTCATAACCAAACGCAAACTTAAAAAAATACAAGCTCATGTAAATTTAAAATTTATTTTTTATTTTAAATATATATTTTTTTATTTTTAATATTTTATTTTATTTTATAAATAGATTTTTAAATATTTTAGTTTTTTTGTTATGCGTTTGGTTACGATTTGAGTGTAGAGTTTTGAAAGTAGTGTGAAGTGTCGAGTTATGTGTTTGGTTATGAGGTTTGAAAATAATTTTTGAATTGAGTTTTGAGTTATGTGTTTGGTTATGATTTGAGTGTGAAGTTGTGTTTTGAATTTAAAATATTAAAATTAAAAAAAAAATAAAATATTTGCAAAATAAAATAAAATATTTAAAAATACTTAAATAAAAAATAATTTTTTTAAACATTTTTTAATATTTTAAAAAAATAAATCCAAAATATTGTTCCAAATATTATTTGTTTCTTCCAAACCTCTCCTCCAATCCAAAAGCATTTTTTAATATTTTAAAAGGAAGGGCAATAAGGTAATTTACTATTAAAAAAAAGTAACACCGTTTGGAACAATTTGACAGAATGGGAAAATCTTGACATTGTCAGATAAAGCAAGGAAGGTTACTGTAATAAGTAATTATTCAAACTACAGGGGAGGTTCTTATATTTGTCAGAAACCTCATGAGAGGTAAATGTAATTTACCCTAAAAATTAAGTATTAAAAATTGAATGTTGAATTTTTTAAATTAAAATATTGTTTAATAAAAATTTAAGTGCTGAATTAGAAATAAATTATTTAATATATATAAAATCAAATTTGATATTGTGATGGTGGTGGTGGTGGTAGTGGTGGTATGATGGTGATTATGATGATGTTGGTAGTGGTGGTGGAGAAAATAGTGATAGTGGTAGTGATAGTGGCAGCGGTAGCCATAGCGTTGATAGTGGTGGTGATAGTGATAGTTAGGGCTGTGTAAAATACCGTCCAATCCGCTAAAATCGCACCAATCAACATTAATCCACACTGCTCTAACCACCAACCGCGGTTTAAACTTTAAAATTTATAAACTGCCAACCGAACCGCTACGCTATAGTTAATACATATATATTTTTTAACTTCTAATGAAACATTAATGTAAAAATAAGTGTGTGAGAGATTTAAGACATGAAATTTATTACAAATTAGCGGTTATATATATAAAACATATTATGCAAAATTACTTTGTGTTATATATCTAAAAAATATTATATAAATTAGTGTTATATATTATGTAAATGTATGATAATTAGTTAGAATATTCTTCAATCTGACAATCTGCCAAAAACCGCCTAAACCGCAATTTGTTAATCCGTTAACCCACTATTCGGTTTGTAATTTTATTCTCAAACCGCCCAAACTGAACCGTGTACACCCCTAGCGATAGTGATAGTGGTGGTGGTGGCGGTTGCTATAATTGTCACACCCCACTTTTTATTACTCATATTCTATTACCAAACTATTATTATAGATTCAATTCAGAGATATCATGCGGAAACTCTTTTATATTAACATGAGCGCAAAAATAAAGATTCTCTCATTCGGATACAATATGAATGCAACAAGAGTTACAATTAAATAAATTACCCGTAGGCTTATATCTTTTAAACTAAAAGAAAGGGTTTAACTATTTTTCATAAATGGCATTACGTCCACAAATAAAAGGCCCTGTGACCAACAAATAAAAGATATCCTCTTCTTGACATTCACCTGAAAAACGATTAGCAACGTGGGATCAACATAAAGTCCAGTAAGGATCTCAACATGGTCCTGAATAATAACAACATACGGATAACTATATCATGAATGCTTATATCATATCATATACATAATGTGACAGTTTATACTGAAAATATACTTGTACAATTACTTTTCTCAAAACTAATCAATTTAACCAACAACACTAACAGTTCACTTCTCTTTCTCATTCCCCATTTGTAAATAACACATCACAACTGGTTGTTTTAAGAACAAAAGAGATATTTTCACAAAACCAGATTACTTCACATTATTTACACCCATACAAAACGTACGTTCATTTCTGATACATTCATCACATTCCCTTGGCCCTAAGTCCATGATTCAAGAAACACTTTTAACAACTCGCCCAATACGCCTATGCACAAACATATATGTCCAAGCGCAAATATGAAACCAATACATGTACAATGATTACTACAATATCACATAGAACAACCTGGTCTTACCCAACCATAACCATCAACTACTCATGATGTGCAAAGATCCATCGAGATCAAATGAGAAACGAAACAATGCTCAACCTACTTTAAGCACAGTAAGCCAATGATACACCTTTCCATAACGAAATGTCAATTTACCAGACACAAGTTGGAAGGTAATGTACCTCTACCAATTTACCAGACATTAGTTAGAAGGTAATGGTACCTCTGCCAAGTTCTTTAGGTGCTAGCTGGAACGTACAGGTACCTCTCATTCTAAGTGTTACCAAGTTCTCCAGGCGCTAACTAGAAAATATTGGTACCTCTCGTTCTCAATGTGTGAACATTTCCAACCATCTTAACATACCAGGATGCATAACAACACAAGTAATCTCAACATGCCAAGATGCATAATAACGCAAGTGTAATACATACACGATATTATCCAACACAACAATGCCATCCTCCACCGATGGCCAAGGACAAAACCTCTAAGCAAATGTATTAAATACACGTAAGACAACAATTCAATTCTCACAAGACTTTCAGTCCAATAACAATGATAATATGTAAAGCTTCCAAAATCTGACTTCAAGTTCATTATCAATTTACAAAGGGTTATGATTTTATTTTCTTTCAAAAAGACAACTTTTCTTTATTTTCCAATCCACACAACTCCAACAATCTTCTAAAAATTCATTCTCATCATTTTACAAAACCAAATCCATTCTCTTTATTTTACAAAACCAATTCCATTGGTATCAAAACAATAACTTAACTCTACTTCACATGATTAGTCAAAAACAATTTCAATATCATGGTTACTTCTTCCTTTATATAACACAATTATATAATCCATATTAGCAAAATACAAAGATTATTCAACTTTTTCCCTCTCAAAACCATCAAGTCAAAAATATTAAATTAGGGCTTTCCTCCCTCTTAACATAAACATATTAAATGTGTCCGCATAAACATCGAAAATCATTCCCCAATTAACCCAAACAATAAGCAACAACTTCAATCACAATATCAAACTCTAGATCCTATTTCATGATTTTAAAGAAAATCCATAATTAATATAGTTTTTATGCAATAAAATCTACCACATGTCTATCTATAGATGAAATATTGGAAAGGAGAAAATAAATCCTTACCTTTTGAAACGAAGAGGAGACAACTCAAAAAAATCACCGACAACGAAACTATGACCTACTCAGATCAAGAGGAAGCCCTTGATGAGATTTATAATCTTTCTCAAAGGACTAAGGTGAAAATATAGCTCTAGGTGAATAGATCTAAAGATCTAAGTGAAAAGGTTGAGTTTAGAGAGAGAGAGAATAGAACTCACAATGTAAAGATAAAAAAAGGAAAAAGAGAGGAAAGAAAATAATGAGAAAAGTGTGTTTGGAACCTATTTATAATAGCAGAATAATAACCCAAAAGTAAATGAAGAATAAGTCAAAACCCCCCAAAGTAAGGCCCAAACCGTAGCCAACAATCTGAAATTTTACTCACAGGGGTCGACCCTTCAAGAAAAAAAGCCGAGACACTGATGTGTGCAAAGGACAAGGGTTGACCCTTGGAACCAATGGTGTTGACCCTTTATTTCATAATGCACCCAGAATAAAACAGTAAGGGAAAGGTCAACCCTAGGAACTTAGGTGTCAACCCCAAAAACCAACAGAGGCATTTAGAGTAGGTGACAAGATACTATCGACCTCCAGAAAGGCAAATGTCGACCCCAGAACAAATTTTTCAAGTTTCTAAAGAACTTTTCAATGTAAATACGCATAAATTAACAATCTCAACAAGTATAAATCAAATTATACTCCTTCAAAATCAAGATACAACAACTCCAAAGACTCCCAAAATGAAGAGAGAAAAAAAAGAATTGAATACACTCTCTAATGGTTTAAAGGGCACAAGTGTTACAGTAATGGTGGTAGTCGTGGTGGTAGTAACAGTAATGGTAGTGGTGGTAGAAGTAGTGATAGTGGTAGTGGCGATGGCATGATAATGGTGCTTGTAGTGATGGTGGTCATGGTAGAAATAGCTATAGTGATAGTGGCGGTAGCATAATGGTTTTGGTTGTGATTGTGATAGTGGTGGCGATGGTGGTGGTGGTGGTAATGAACTTATAATAGTGTATATTAATATTTATATTTAGTATTTATAAATTCAATTTGAACTTAAGATTTTAGCCTATATTTTAAGAGGTACTTAAAATTTTAAGTGATATCAATTGTGGTTATCAAACGAACTTAATTTATTATCACTTAGGCCCCATTTGGGGACTTACTTTTTTAGCCAATTAGCCAAAAAGTTACTAAATTAGCCAAAAAGCCAACAACTCATACCAAAAAGTCAAAAATTCTCTTTTCTCTCTACTTTTTGCACATCTTTTCGTAATTAGTCAAAAAGTCATCACAAACATACAAGTTTTTTTTACCTACCTTTTTAGCCAAATAGTCAAAAAATTACTAAATTAGCCTGTTCTCAAACGAGGACTTAATACATTTAGTTTTAAATACTAAATCAGGTTATCAAACAAACTCTAAGGTAGCGTTTGGTTTAAAACTCAAATCATAATTTGGATTAAAAAAAATTCAAAATTCTTTTCAAAACTCATAACTAAACACATAACTCAAAATTTAATTCAATTTTTTTTTTCAAAACTCATAACCAAACACTTTTCAAAACTCTATTTAAAAAAAAAAAATCAGAAAAAATGTTTTTTTATTTTGTTCTTTAAAATTATTTTTTTTATTTTTTTTCAAAAATATTTTTTATATTTTTATTTATGAAGAAAAATATTTTTCATTTTTTTATTTTTTCAAAACAAATATTTTGTTACTTTTTTAAGTATTGGCCGAATAATTTGTTATGATTTAGATATATATGGGCGATCCAAAATTTTTTAAAATAAAAAAACAATTTAAAAATAAATAAATATTCAAAAACATTTTTTTAAAAAATTAAAATAAAAAATAAAATATTTAAATATTTAAAAATATATTTTGAAAAAATACAACGCACAAATGTAGTAAATACAATACACATTAAAATAAATAAATAAATATTTACAACAAAAAATATTTACCCTAAAGAATTAAATTAAGAAAAATTTAAAATATTTAAAAAAAATAAATTTCAAAATACAACTCAAAACTCAAAATACAACTCATAACCAAACAAATTTTTTCTTTTTAAAACTCAAAACTTAAATCATGCTTCAAAAACTAAATCAAATGAAAATTTTTGATTTTTTTTCAATTTACATCATTTGTTTATTTTTGTTAAATAAAATTGAAGAAAAAATAATATTTTCATAATTAAACTCAACGAAAATGGTATTTTAAACTTTTTATGGACACCTAAATTGAGTTTAATGAATAAAATATTATTTTTCTATTGATTTTACTTAACAAAAATAGATTAATGGTTTATATTGATAACGAATCAAAATATTGGGATTCAAAATAACAAAATTACTCACTCGGGATTTATTTTGTTACTAGAGTACTCTAGTTTTCATTTTTTTTTTAATTTATAATTTGCCTTGATTTTTATAACAGTTAGTCACTTTTTCATTAGAAATTCGTTAGTCGTATGAATAAAAAAGTGATGTTATAATTTTTACATTAAAATCTATATTTTACCATATATATTTTTTTATCTTCATACCATCTGCATTAGTTTGATTTTTTTAATCTTACTAAAAAGGCAGTCAGTATAATTATGTCAAAATTATAAAATTTATTATATTTTCTCCACATTTCAAGAGATGTTAGTGTAATTTTACCCTTATTTGTTTTGATTTCAATCACAAAATAAATAAATAAATAAATAAATAAAATTGTTGAATTGTCTTTGTTCTTGTTTTGTTGCCAAAAACAATAACTTCCATGGCTTTATACAGAAGGAATGACATTATCTGATGGCAACACGTTTCAAAAAAGTTTCACCATTCTTCCCATCTTTTATCAACCAGAAACTAACCTATCCATATCCCCAAAAATTAGCCAAACGGTAAAGATATGAAAATAGAATAAGATGTAATGTCTCGTGTTCAAATCTTTCATGGAACCAATAGAGATTTGCCCAGTGATCAACTTCAAGGCCTATCAGGATTAGTTCTCGGCAGTCCAAATACGACGTACAGGTCCAATTGGTTAGGCCAGGTGAGGGATACCCTACCCTCGATTTAACCGGAAAAAAAAAAACACCACCACCACCACCAACAAAGACACTAACCAATCCATTGCCACACCCCACTGCAACAAAATAGTCATCTGGGTTAATGCAGGTCCGACTCAAATTTGAAGCCACTTTGTTTTGAAGAAAAAACCAAATGCAATGATTTCTACTTAAACATCTGCCATATAAAAATTTAACCATGTAAGAATTTGCAGCAATTCACAACATAGGCAGAAAAAGTAGATGCAAAGTTACAAGTTAAACCAGAGAATCAGACACAACCGATTTCATCACAAGTAGTAGATCAAATTAATGATTCAAATGTTTGAATAAAACCCATAAGTTACATCACCAATTTTTTTCTTTTCCGATCCCCCTCTTTTTCTCTCCCCTTTTCCATCAATAAAAAGTTGGGTGCAAATATTTTACAATGGGTGTTATGGTATCATACACACTTTCTAACCAGCTCGTATCCTATCCAACCAATCAACACTCTTCCTTGCTCTTTCCAGCTGTTGGTCGATGCTCCTCCGAGATTTCTCATGGTATTCCACGCTCCGCCGAGACCTCTCCATCTGTTCAACAGATAGTCTTACCTTTGCAAGTTTGTCATTGTGATTAAATTTGTATTCGTGGATTTTCAATTTTTCAGACTTGTCTGTGCTTCGTCTTGGTTTCTCTCTCCTGTCAGTACTCTTCCTTGGAACCTCAAAACAATCAGTACTCTTCCTGGAATGTTCAGGCCGGTCTACACTTTTCCTCGAACTGATTCTCTGTGAGGGTGATTTTTCCACCGTAGATACAAACTTCCTCAGATGCCTAATGTACTCGGGAAAAAGTTCCAAGTCACAGTGATTTCCCCCTTTAAGCCACAATGGTTCATATTTTTCTTCGCACAGCTCCCAAAGTTGTTTACCGTGAGAGCAATCAACAACTTCATCAGAAGTTCCCTGCACAACAATTCGAAGAAGCCCAGAAGCAAAAATCAATCTATGATTAAGAGAGTACAGGACCAAAAGCTACGTGCAGAGTGCTAGGAACTATGGCATAGACATGCATGCTAATCTTGAAAATCATAATGTTTAACCAAACCGTATGACAAAAGTTGGGCCTCAATGACCATGTTATAAATAGGCCATCTTAAAATCCCGACACGACATCTTTATTATTCGTATTATGGTCAGCTTGGCACAAATATGACACAAATTCAAACCACTTGTCTCCTGTCAGTTCTTAATTAAGCTGATAATTTAGATCTCTCACATTCATCATTTTACTAGTTCAAAGTTGTCTCTGAGCCAAGAGGAAAGCTCTCATTCAAGAATTGCAACAATCATGGCATGCCTGACTTGTAGAACTTGGCCTTCGAGCATTTTCCCTCGTTTGCAATACTCTATTTCTTTCACTAAAAAATACTTCAAAAAACACACAAAGCTAAATCCAGAGTTCTTCCAATATAGAAAGAAGAATATACTTTCTGAGAGCCAAAAATGAAATATTTATAAATATAGAAAAGATAGAGAAGCATTATTCAAGCCTAGAGCTCAAATCATGAACCATGATACGAAAATGATATTCAGTTTGCCAGTAGCATTAAACTGCAGGGCAGGAGGATTGCCTAAACTACACAAGCAAAAATCTATACTGTACTCCATTTACATCTTTAGCATTGTGACCATGAGCAAGTTACAATAATAGAAATGTTAAAAGGTAATTGAAAGCTATGAGGGAAATTCAAACATATACAGAGGAACACAGTTCATGAGGACCTTTCAGAATATTTTATTGGTCAACTTGTATAAGAAAGTACCTATATATATCTATGATGAACCATCATTATGCTTTCTGAAGATTTATTAACGAGTTGCCTCCTTCCGAGTGCTTTTGCACTCTAAGCCTCTAAAATAAGTATAAACTTTTATCCCACCTTTCATCTTGTTATTTCTTACCATCAACAACTAACAGTTCAGAAATCTCATTAACTTGAAAAAGTTAATATTCAAGGATTATAGAAACACAAAGTTGAAAACAAACGTTTTCCTTATTTTAGTATAAATTTTTACTAAATAATTAAGGACTTTATAATATTTTCGGCTTGGTTGCATTCTTCAAAGGATCAAACTTAGATTTGGTCTTGGAAGAGCCATGAGTGCAACCTCCTCGTTCAGCTACGGCTAACATTTTCTCAGTTCACCATGATGACCAACTCCGAGTTGTATTCCAAGTAAGATTCTGAAAAGCGGTTGCAGTCGCTGCAACGGTGGTAGTGGCATGGTTGCGGTTGCGGTTGCGGTTGCGGGGTGTAAAGGCCGTAGCATAACGGTTGCGGTAACCGAAATCTTAATTTTTTTTTATTTTTCGCACAATTTGAAAAAAACTTACCAATACGCATATTTTTTTTCCATGATCATATTTATTGGGTTTAAAATAAATATTGATCAATTTTTGTAAATTTTTAAGTATGATCCAATACATTTTATATTTTTAAATCACTATAAACTGAGTTTTTTACATTTTATTTTAATAATTAATGACTTTATATTATACAAAAAATAATCACTAACTATTATATATAAGATAAACAATGACAAAAGTAAAAGAATAAATAAGAGCCTAAATATATATATATATATACATATTTTAACCAAGTTAAATAGATAATGACCACACTTATTATTGTTATTATTTTTAGATAATATATAGATACACAGACAAACAAAATGGTTACGTGATAGCAACTGAATAGAATAGCATAGGTCTTCCAGTTTCAACAAATCAATAACATGTTCTTTATCTTTCCTCTTCTCCCTCTCTATCTCTTGCCCCTTAATCTTCTCTCTTTATCTTCCCTCTTCATTCTATCCCTCTTTCCCCATTTTCAGCTTTTTTTTTGTGTGTTTTTTCGAAAGAAGCAGTTCGGAACCGTTACGTAACAGTGCGTAACGGGCTGTTACGGCTGTTATGGCACTGTTACGACCGCTACGGCCAACACACTTGTGAATCTCAATCACACTGCAAAAGCGGCCGTGACGGGTGGCGGTAACTACTACAACCGTTACGTAACGGCGTTACGTAACGGTTGTGGCCGCTTTTTAAAACCTTGATTCCAAGTTTATACATGCAGATGCACTCAAATCATTGGATCTTATTGATGCACCACCAGATTATTTCATCATGAAGAAGAATGATTTTATTGGTGTTAAAGAGTTTTTTCAAGCGTTCAATGCAAAGTTTAGTGGACTTCATCAACACCTTGCAAACCACTATCAATTCGCACGAGAGAAAATAAAGCAACTTGATATTCGAAATATTTGATTCTCTAATATGGGCGAGTTCAATATTTAAAGAACTCCAGTACAAGTTCTTTTTCTCAATTGGGAAGAAAAATGCAAAACGTGTGTGCATGGTGATTTTATAAATTTGTCTTTAGTATATATTATTTTAGTATTTTATTTATTTATTTTTTAATTAGGTTTAATTAAGAATTTTATTTTGGCTAGGAGTCTTAATATTTTGTTTCCTTTTCTATTAGGATTTGATTTCCTATTTTGAATTGCGGCTTTTAGCCCTAAAAATGATAGGTCTCTGCATTGCAATAGTTAGTTTTGGAAAAATATCAAATATTGAAGGTTGTGGTTGTTCGTGTTAGGGCTGTGGCCAGTCCTTCCTCTCCTCTTTTGTTCTCTCTTCTTACTACATTAGTCCTTGCTCTTGCTGACACACAATAAGCTGTGCTAATTGGAGTCTGCCATTACATGGCCTCACAGAGGTGAAGGAAGAAAGGTGATAGCTAGCTCCCTTGACTTTCATGAAAAGTTCCGGTAGTTGGGAGTAGGGCTGCAAACGAGCCGAGCTTTGTTGAGCTCAAATTCAGCTCATTTGCTTATCGAGCTCGTTTATTGAGCTTGAGCTCGGCTCAATAAGTAACTGGGCTCGAGCTCGGCCCGGCTCGGCTTGATAAGAAAAAAATAAAAAAAAAGAGTTTACATACTGTATATATGTATATATATAAACCTATAATTATTATTTTTTAAATACAATTTTATATATAAAAAATAAAAAAAAAGAGTTTACATACTGTATATATGTATATATATAAACCTATAATTATTATTTTTTAAATACAATTTTATATATAAAAAATAAAAAAAAAGAGTTTACATACTGTATATATGTATATATATAAACCTATAATTATTATTTTTTAAATACAATTTTATATATAAAAAATAAAAAAAAAGAGTTTACATACTGTATATATGTATATATATAAACCTATAATTATTATTTTTTAAATACAATTTTATATATAAAAAATAAAAAAAAGAGTTTACATACTGTATAAATTTTTTTTTTACAGTTTTTAATATATACTCATAAAAATCTTACAGTTTTAAATACAATTTTTTTTACATATAATTAAACAAAAAAAAGGTCTTATATATGTAAATGTATAAACAAATAAAAATAAAAACAAAAATAAAAATAAAAAAGTCTGGTCGAACGTATAAAAAAAAAAGAAAAAAAAAATGAAGACAGTTCAGTTCAGTCGAACCGAAGCAGAGCAGAGAGAGAGAGAGAGATAGCGAAAGAGAAAGAGACAGGCAAGAGAGGGGCTTACCTTCGAAGACGACCAGATCGAAGGTCGAAGACGCTGGATCGACTGAAACAGAGACACAGCCGACTGGATTGAAGGTCTACGATCGACTTCGGAGGGCTGCGACTGAGAGAGATAGCTTCGATTGACTTCAGAGAGAGGGCTTCGACTTCGACTGAGAGAGAGGAGGGCTTCGACTTCGACTGAGAGGTCTGATTTTACTATTTTTTACCTCAGTTGTTCGATTAGGGCTTTGCCCGTTAGTTTATTTTATTTTATTTTTTTTTTTTTACTTGTTAAATATTATACTTTGACCCCAAATAAATATAGAAAATTTAAAAAAGAACCCCGCCGTGTCCCTTGGCGTGTCCAGATATGGACACGCGTGTCCCCGCCGTGTCCCTGCCGTGTCCCCTTCCAAAAAAATTATTAAATTAAAGGGACACTCCATCTGGCGTGTCCCGTACGTGTCCCCGGCGTGTCCCCATGTCCCCGGCGTGTCCGCGTGTCGGACACTGCCACGGCACCATTTTTGGAGTGTCCATGCTTCATAGCCGAGCCTAGCCTATTCATGAACAACTCAGTTCATGAGGTTCTCACATATGATGCATCTCTTCTAGTTCATAAGGTTCTCACTAAAATGATGCCATTTCTAGCATGAGAGAGAAAGAGACAGAGATAAAGATAACTTTTAACTACTACTACTACCATGTGAACTCAAATAATAATAATAAAAAAAAAGTTTCCCCAGAGCTGCTGTCTACTTTCAACAACCAATGACAAGTTCTATCAAATAGACCAAGTGAATAGAAAGATCAACTTGATTTGACTTTAATAAAATTTGATCCAATTCGTCAGATGTTAGACAAACTCTTGATTAAAGTGAAGTGAATATACAGATAAAACTCGTTCAGTTTGCTAAGCTATCCACGCCACATGGAAAAGTTAGTACTGCATTTTGACTCTAGTTGATGAGCATTGAGCTGTATGCATCCAAATATATAATAATAATAATAAAAAATAAATAAAAACATTCCGAGGGCAATTATAGAATACCATTCATAGGACTTCAATCAATAATGTTGTTGCAGTTTTTATTGTCCTCACTCTTTTTTATATGAATTAATTCAGGAAGAAAGAGTAGCTGCAGAAAGCTTAATGAACATTCATTTCCACAGGGTGTCCAACCACCCCTAAAAATTCATTTACATAGATATTCATTGCATAACAGTTGTCAAAGAAGAAAAAACAAAGTCTTCAATGTCAGATGCCAGAAAATTCAATATATGTGCACAATTGCAATGTTCAACATCAAATGCTAGCATTGGGTTTGAAAACTTACATGAATGATCAGAACAGGACACTTCACCAATGGAATTTTGTCAATGTTCTGCATGATATCAATATAAAATCATGTTAAGAGACATAAAAAATGTGAAAAATATGATAATTAAAAAAAAAAAAGTGTAGAGATCAGCAAACAAGAACTTTGCCTTGTAGATGTCAAACCAATAGCTCCGCTTCACAGGATACATGACTCTTAAGCCTGACAATATAGGACTATGTAAAACAACAGCTCTTAGTCGAGGCAAACGCACTGCAAGGTCTAAGGTCGGACCACTTCCAACAGACTGGCCATAAAGAATGATCTCTTCCTGCTTAGCACCATAGCTCTCTTCAAGACACTTGTATGCAGCTTCGATATCTGCATAAGTATTCTGCTCACTCGGCTGTAATGAATAAAGTATACAAATAAGTTTCATAATCTGTTTTCAGGCATTTGAATTGTCTCAAGAAACGAAACACCACAACAGAGAGCATAAACAGTGTTTTACCTTTCCAGTTGACTGCCCATAACCAGAGTAGTCATACCTGTATAAATTCAAACACTATCTTAGAAAATTTTCCTTATCAACCATATATATAGCAACAGATTAAGGACAGAAGCCGTAACATGCAAATAATGCAGCCTCAGATGAAAGTAGATTGTTTTTGTGACTTACAGCAGAAGATGGCCATAGTACTAGAACTGGGATGCATATTACCTTTACAGTCAGGCATTGCAACAAGGCATCTAATGCAGTGACCTAGCCAACCTTTTTTTTTTTTTGATAAATAGTGACCTACCCAACTTAATCTACTGAAACTGTCATCTCAACATCATTACAAGACATCTTATATAACTAAGACAATGCTATTTCAAGAATTTATTTATTGGGCATAAAATTTTACTAAACTTTTTATTTTTTATTTTTTATATATATAAATAAGATCTACTTAGGGGTGACCATTGGTTCAATGGTTAAGACTTGGCCTAATAACCTTGAGGCTATGGGTTCAAGTCTTGGGGCCACTACTTTGTGCATTATGCCAAAGATTAGGGGTGCACTCAATCTTCCCCTCTCAAACACACATTAATGTGTACTAATTGGGCATTATTTTTTTTTTTTTTATAAATAAGATCTACTTACCTTTCAGACCAGAACTAGCATAGGACTAGAAGTAACGGCAGGTCAAGTAAGGAAAATAACTCAAATTTCCCAAAATACGTATAGTATAAAAGAGTATATAGAATTACATATCTGCACACATGTTTTAAAATGAGGGTCAATTTCCCATCATTGTTTTCTTTAACATTCTGCTAAAGCACCCACCAATATAATGTCAACTTCAAAAGCAAAAATCAGAGAGCCAAATCAGAGAGCATATTGCAAAGCAAATACGTTTTTGCAGTATTGTTCTTCTAGATGTACCATCTTGTTCTGCTAAGAACCAAAATGATTCAAATGGAAATGCCAATTATTGTCATATCCGCTCACTAGAAAAATCATATGCCCTCAATTATAGACAAGATACAACCAAAAATTACAAGATTATGTTAAAAACAATTCAATTTAATGGTTTTGGATGCTGACTACTTAGGTTACAACTCAACTTACAACGACTCCTGTTTTCCCGATTCTGATATCTACAATTATTGAGTAAAAAATGGCCAATCACATCATGTTTTACAACCTCAACCACATGCTGTATGTCCCTCATCTTGAAAGCAGGTGAAGCAAATTTTTCCTATTTCCATCCATTGTTACATAATTATACAATTACATCTATGATGTCTTCACATCCATCCATGAAAATCTCTTCTGCTCGTATATCTGAAATCTGACATACCTGGAAGAACAAAACTATATCAATCACTAGCAGAAGATTGCCTAGTTTGGCATGGATAATTTGCTTGACGAAAACCCAGATCAATCAGCATCCCCGATCATCGTACTGTCAGATCTTAGAACCTGGCTTGAGAGACCTTAGCTCAACTTTCAGTAAAAAAAAGGGTATCCATGTCATGTATAGACTAACAACCAAATCAGACCCAAGAACCACATAGGAACTAACCACAACACAGACTCACTTAGGATGACAAAGAATCAGATCTACAAAACGAGACGGGAAACCAAATATCATCCCACTATTAATCCCTATGTTTGCAGCTTATTGCCAATTCTTCCACATCTCAAACTTGATAAATAAAATAATAATAATAATAATAATAATAAGGAGTCTTTTCCTTTCACCAAAAACATCAAACCATTTAGGGTCCGTTTGGGATGGATGTGGATTTGAAATGCATGGATTTGACATTAATCATTCAAGGAGAATAACTTAAATTTAAATTTCAATTTCAATTTCAATATTGAATTATCATGACAAATTTGAAACAAGTACATAATAAAAGTAGTTATTTGAAATGATTCTGTTCTAGCTACAAGGATACTACTAAAACAGATAAAATTCTATCTAAACTTATCTTCTTTTATAATTTCAGCTAATAACTCTCCAATCTTTTAAACCTCAAATCCCTTGATTTCAAATCCAAACAGATCCTCGCTAAACCACAATCCACACCCACCCACCAAAGATTTCATTTCTTAGGCAAACCTTTCCTATCAATCAAAGACATATCACCAACAACAAAGTTAGTAATTAATTACTCATCCATATACAAATATACAGATATATATGTATAGGGAGAGAGAGAGAGAGAGAGAAGGGTAGCCTACCCCATGATATTGAGTCGCAAGTGAATGCTCAATTCGAGGAGAAGGTCGTACATCTGACCAATATCAGCCGCATTTCCATGGGAGTAAAGGAGAGTAGAGGAAGCCATAGGGTAACGAACATAGACAGCGACGATCTCTGTGCCTCGACGAGTCGGCAACTTCAACACCTCCACGTTTTCCCTGTGAGGGAAAGGGTCCAAGAGAAGGAGACCAGTGGCATCGTCCGTAATTAGCTTGTACGCCGGAGGGCTCGGTGGGAAAAACGCGAACTTCGCCGCCATTGATGAAGTCACCCCTCCCATCCTCTCTCTCTCCCTCTCAAAATATATCTATCTATATCAGTTTCTCTCACTATATAATCGACATTCCTTGTGTGAATGTTCTTGAGAAGTTGAGAGAGAGAGAGAGATGTTTTAGATGAATTTTTTTTTTTATTGAGCGGTGCTCCATCTATTAATTAATAGACGTAGTAATTAGTGTATCAATTTTAATTATGATATTATTATTAATTTTATTTATTATATAAATTATAAGTATTAAAAATATTTTAAATTATATTACATTATTAATTAGTACATTAATTAGTGTATATAATATTAATTTTTTTATTTACACGTACTAATTAATGTATATGTTAATATATTAATTAGAAAATGCTATAGGTCCCAAATTTTTTACCAAATGAATGACCAAACCTCTCACATGAGTGTGGGATGTGAGAGGTTTGGTCATTCATTTAGTAAAATTTTTTGTATCTCTAGCATTACTCATATTAATTATTGTTATATTATTATTACTGACCTCACTTATTATACAAATTATATATATTTAAAATTTCTAAAATTATATATTATATTATCTATTAATATATTAATTGATAAATATAAAACTATTTTTTTTGTTTATAATCTCTCTCCTCTTTTTTATTAAAGCATCTCCAGCCCATCCTTTCACCAAGAGGATGAAAATAATTTTTTTTATTCAAAAAGTAAATATAGAGTATGTTACTATTTATTCAAACTCCAACCACAAACCTTTAAAACACTTTATCCTCCCTTCATCAAAAAGTAATTTTTTTGTAATTCCCAACAAGTGTACCACTTGAATATTAATGTTGATCAATTTAAATTAAAGGAGTTTTCTTCATTTTTTTATCATGCTAGTGATAAAAACAAATATATTTATGTAAATTTTTATATATATATTTTATCTTTTAAAACAATTATATCAATATATTTTATCTTTTAAAACAATTATATCAATATATTATTATTTTATTTATTTATTTGTGTATGTTTTGAAAAGTCAAAAAAAAAAAATTTAAATGTTTATTTTGAAAAAAATTCCTAACATATCCATTGCGAACATCAAGTATGCATTGGAGATGCTCTTAGCAGCCATGAATTTTTCAGAGACGGTGGTGATGTGGTTACCGGCTGCAGCAGGTGGAGGACATGAGAGTGTGGCCGCATGTCTGATGCTGTGGAAGCAGACTGGAGGAGCAGGTTGCCGGTTTCCCGGGTTAAGATACATGTCGCCATTTTGTCCAATTGGAGTACTTTCCACAGTTTTTTCTTTTTTTTTTACACATACTTTCCTCAAACATAATTTGACAAGTAAATTTTTTAATTAAAAAGTCAAAAATTTATTAAAAAAAATTAAAAATTTAATAATTTATTAAAAAATTAAAGATTTTATTTTTTTCTATTTTTTGTATATCTTTTCATAAAAAGTCAGAAAGTCATTCTAAACATACTAGTTTTTTTACATTATATTTTAGTCAAAAAGTTACTAAAAAAGTCTGTTCCCAGACGAGGCCTTAGGATACTTTGGTTTTCATTTTTAAAAATTGAATTTTTTATTTTTTATTTTTAATAAATATTTTTAAAATTTTAAATAATTTTTTTATTTTTTCAAATGCACCTTATTTAAATGTATTTAAAAAATAAAATATTTGTGAAAAAATATTTTAAAAAAGTAATAAATACATAAAAATATAAAAAAAATATACTGAATTTTCATATTATTTGTATTTTTAATATTTAGTGAATTTTTTAAAAATTGTTTCACAGAAAATATACTTTTTAAGTATATTTATGTTAAGTATATCTAAAATATTAAAAAATTTACTTAAAATATTAAAAATATTCAGTGAAAACAAAAAATAAAAAAGTAAACTTTTTTGAAAAGTATTTTCTGAAAACCAAAACCAAATATGCTGAATAATAATAATAATTTACGCAAAATTGTTTTTTTATTTTAATTTTTTTTCAATTAAATTGACTATGTTTGATTTAAGAATAATAATAATAATTTACGCAAAATTGTTTTTTTATTTAATTTTTTTTTCAATTAAATTGACTATGTTTGATTTAATTTTCAGAAGCTTGTTTTGATTTTTTTAAATTAAGAATTAATTTGGTAAAACAAATAAAAATGTTAAGTAAAATTAAAAACACTTAATATTTTTATTTTTAACATGTCATAAATAATTTTAAAAATTTTAAAATATATTTTTAATAATTATTTTTATCATTTTTTTTTAATTCTGAGAAATTACACATCACCCACCAGACCACCATCCCAGCTGCCCCTTTTTTTGTTTTTCTTTTTTTTTAATCAGGTGTTAAAAGGCAATTTATACGCATTTTAATTAATTTTAAAACTCTAAAATTAATAATTGGATAAATTTAAGATCTTGATCTAATTTTCAAATCTCTATCGCTCAATTAACCCCTTCAAATTATACCTACCTTACTCTCCTTCACCTCTTCACCACTTTACCGGAATCTCTCTTCCCATTCTCTTCATCTCCTTCTCCCTCTCTTCCTTATTTGAGCATTTGTGAAAGTAGTCTTATATTAAATAAAGAGTAAAAAATATAAGTTTTAATATATATTAGATGGACTATCAACTTATGGATTTAAACTTTTAAATAAATATGAGTTTCAAATAAATGTGTTTCATACGCTAGTGTTAATTGGACCCAAGAGCGACTCTACAGCCACCTTTGAGTGTTCAATTGAACACCATGATTTTTTTTTTATTTGATATATATAAATATATATAAAATTTAGTTTGAAATTTTATGTTGAACATCAACCCACCTTTCTGACACCCAACTTAGTTGAACACCCACCCAGCTCATTTTCTTGAACACCCAACACAACTCATAACCCTTTAATCAATATATATGTTTTCTGAAGTGAACACACAGTATGCTTTAGAGCTTTGCTTCCTCAGCCTATTCAAAATATATTTTTGACAAAATTGTATGATTTTGTAGTTTCCAACAAGTGTACCACTTGGATATTAATGTTGGTCAATTTAAATTAAAGGAGTTTTCTTCATTTTTTTATCATGCTAGTGATAAAAACAAATATATTTATGTAAATTTTTATATATATATTTTATCTTTTAAAAAAATTATATCAATATATTATTATTTTATTTATCTATTTGTGTATGTTTTGAAAAGTCAAAAAAAAAAAAATTTAAATGTTTATTTTGAAAAAAATTCCTAACATATCCATTGCGAACATCATGAAAAAAATTTGGAGTCGCTGCTAATGGGACCAATATTACTGTGCACTTATAGGCTACTCATTTCCCTAACATCACCAATAAAATGTTAGATCTGTTTGGCAATCAAATTTTGAATAAATATCATTGGTACAATGTTGATAGATTGTTGGCTTATTTTTCCTACGAAGGAAAATATCATAAATGCGAGCGTGCCAGTAAGGATTGAAAAATCCTTACAGATTAAATTCAAGCCAATTATCAAGCGATTGTGTTGACGGTTCTTTTGCCTCAACGAAGAGGACTTCAAATTTGCCAAGTGTAGCGAAAAGAAAAAGTAAAAGAAGAAAAAGGGACGGAGAAAGATGATTGAGTGAACAATCAAAGTAATAAATACTTACCTCTACTCCTATGCTTCGAAAAGAAAGTGCATAAAATGCTTCGAAATGGAAATGCTGAAAATAAATGCTTCGAAATATAAATCTATGTTAAACTACTCCTAAGATAAGGAAAATAACAAGAAATATTGAAATCAAGTGTCTTTGATTATCAGTTCTGGATCTTTACAATGTAGCCATTAATGGCTATTTATAGAAGAAAAAATACAACAATAACTACTTAGTAACTACCCATTTCTTCCATCTTCATTCTTGTCTTGCCATGTGTCCTTCCACTCATCCACTTTGTCCTCTCACTCATCCACTTTGTCCTTCATATTCTCCATTATCTCTATAACTTCTTTTAACTTCCAAATGAATAAGAGGATGCCACGTGTCCTGCAATTATATAAATAATAAATAATAATAAAAATTGCAGATTTATGGTGTTAACATAGATAAAGATAATTAATTCGACATTATGTCATGAAGAGTGAATTGTGACTTTTAAATTAGGAAAATTCTAATGTGTACAACCTTTCAAAGAAGTGTACAATGGGGTGTTTTGAGAAATTGGTAAAAAATTAACTTTTTGACTTTTTTAGGATAAGTTATGCGAGAGGTGATTTGACCCAAAATTGATAAAAAGGTGGAAGTTGATTTTTTAGCCGCTTCCCAAAAAAACTCCAATGGTGTTGTTTGGTAATGGCTTTTTGCTTAAAAAAATATAAAATATAAAATAATTAATTAATAAAAAATATATCACATAAACTATAATTATTTCACTTTTTTTTTACAAAATTTTTTAAAAAAATCAAACCAAACAAACTTTTAGTCTTAAGTTAAAAAGTCAAAAAGTTTACTAGAAAGTCAATTACCAAAGGACAATTTTACGTACCGTGGTTATGTCATTTTGTTCTTTAATTATAATTATTTTTTTAATTATAGATTGTAGTGTTTTCTTTTAAATTAAGAATATTTAATATTTCTTTAATTTATATTTTGATTTGATGTTTTTCTTTTTATTTTTTGAACTCATAGTTTGATTTGATGTTAGTATCCGCGCTTATGCATGTTTGTTGGAATTTAGTACTTTTTATTATTTTCACAACCATGATTGGTAGCTTGAAATTCAGTCTCCTGAATTCAAAAAATAACGTCATTTTTGATTTTTTTTTTTTTTAGAAGAAGAAAATCAGAGGAAGAAGGAGGAGGAGAAGAAGGAGAAGAAGAATTGGAGGGGAGGGGGCCAACAAAATCGGGCTGGAGGCGTGGGCGGGGCTGCGACGAGCTGCTGCTGCAACGATCAGAGCTAGGTTGCGACAACGACCGGGTTGGGCGACGATCGGCGATCGGCGAACTTCTCTTCTCTTTCTCTCTTCCCCTCTTCTTCTCTCTTTCTCTCCCTCTTCCTCTCTGCGTTTCAGACTGGAAAATGGAAGGGAAAAAAAAAGAAAAAAAAAAAGGAAAATGCCCAAAACGACGTCGTTTTTGGCATTCGGGGGATTCGGGGAGAAAAGTTTCGAGT